TGTAATGAGAAGAAAAGAAACAATAGCATGGTGATATGGGATGAGAACACCTTGGGAACAATTAAACAATAATTAAATATGGGTACTGTAAGTGCAATGCAGTTCTAGCACTGAATTCCTAATTTCCCACTATTTCTATCATTCCACATGAGAAAATACAGCAGAACTGAAACCAAGGTATCAGTCATGATAGCAGCTAGACTTTAAAATTTTAATTTATCCTACTTTATTTCCTCTTTGATTACCTTCTTCCTTAAAAGAAAAAAGTGTAGGACCATGTAGGTTCAACACATTTGCAACCAAAGACTTAAAAATGGCCATTACATAGTATAGGTATATTAGAAAAAAATCTTCTGTACCAACTAGTTACAAAAAAACGGAGGTAGGGGTGGGGGGTGGGGGAGAGAAATAAGTGGATTTGCCTCACCAAGGCAATTCAAGAGGTTTATTTGAATGTTAAACTACTGAAAGGAAAAACCCTGACACCTAGTGCCCATCTGAAAAAATGAAGCTGGAGCCATCACAATTCTTAAATGTTGGCAGGGTGTGCTGAGGTACCCATCAAACTATGTTCAATTTGAACACAATTTTCTCCCAGAAAAATCTGAAGAAAAAAACATTATGCCATTTAAGAACTCCAGTCTATGATTACAATTTCCTGTTTTGGGTAGGCATACTGTAGATAATTATAATAACTGCTTTTTTGTTTTTCATTCTGGTAAAAGTGAAGGGAGGGAATATTTAAAAGACCATATTCTGAAATAGTAGGGAAAACTGGGACCTGATTTTTAGTATAACTGAAATTATAATATGAGTTCTCTCTCTATCCTGTCTTCCATCATTGCCTAATTTAGAGATTCCTGATCTAGTTCACACAGCTGCTTTTAAAGGAACAAAATAAAATGCTAATGACTTATTTCAGAATAAATAACTTTGCCTCAAAAGGCAAACATGTTCTTTGTCCAACCAGGCAAAGTTAAGTTGTTCTCTGTCAAGTCCGTTACAGCCCTTGGCTTGATCCCAGTGTGAGCTTTTTAATAATGGGATTTAGTGCGAAAAGAAGCTGCACTGAATCGCGAACTGTTACTCAAAATGTTCCCACCTGCAATTACAGCTTCCACCAAATGATCAAAACAGATTAGTAAACTGGCAGGAAAATGAAAACAATTCCTCTAAAACTGAAAAGTAGTAAAGCATACTGGCTGGACAGCTGCATTTCTGTTATATTGGGGCTCAGCAGCACACATTCATCTAACTGTATATTTACATACAGTGCTCATCATGGTAGCATCATAGTAGCTAAAAATGAAATCAGTTTAGTCTCTGTTGCAATCACATTTTCCTCAATTTTCATCTTTACTTGAAACCATCAAGAAAATCCTGGTAACTCATCTTTAGAGCAAATAGCATAGTTCACAGATTCGGTGTACGTTGTTTTTATTTCTACTCTAAATTCATGTTAAATGTTATGCCATTCAAACCCGACAAAGACAAAAACATGTTCTCCTATACCTTTCATCAAGCATGAGGTGACATTCCTTTAGTTACATCTTTCTTTCTGGGGAGGGGACAGCTAGGAAAACAGAAAGGAGAAAGCAGCTAACATGGAATCAGAAAAGCTTTCTCTCTTCTGCTTTTAACACAGGCATGAATGTTCAAAATGCAGGTCACATCTCTGCTGAAATAGCCAATATTCTTTCTCAAATGGCAAACAAGTTACCTAAAACTAAATGAAACTGAATTGGTCCAAGTCTTGGTCCTATCACCATTTCACCTATTTACTGTCCTAGGGGGGAAAAAATAGGAAGGAAGGCTGGCTACCAATATAACCAATGGTCTGATAAGTGCAGGTTTTCTGCCTTTGATCGTGGGGTAAAGCATCTCAATTCATGGAAAAACTCCACAGGAATCTCTTGTTTTACCTTTATTCCTTATATCCATGGGCTAGCTTTTAAACCCAGAAACTCCTATACTTCAAGGTAATGTAATACCACCTACAATGAAGACCTGGAAGAGCCATCACTTTTGGAGAACACTGCATTATGATGATTTAATGTCCATGAAGCATCAATGCATTTATATTGAACCTTGGCTCTCAGAACATTAACAGGTCAATCTTTTATTCCTTTTTTTTTAAATAAAACTATTTCTCAAGTATCTGTTCAGATGCCCCTTCTCTTTGGGACAGGATATATTTGCTCCAAATCTAATCAACAAAATCTCTTTTCCCCTACCTCACATCACTCTTGGTGTAATATGTACAGTGCTAGGCTCATGACAAACTTGTCTCTTTTGCTAAAGAAAATTAAATTGCAATAGCTGAAAGTCAACGTGCCCTGACAAAACTGGGCTCAGCATGAGGAAATACATTCTACTGACACCTCGTCATCTCTTACGCACAGCTGTCTCTCAGAGTTCTGTCTACTGAACTCCATTCTTAGATTGGTCAGTCTCACAGTGGACATGCTCTATTGTATGTCCAAGCTATTGGTAGCAGAGTTTGATACTAATACCTTAACCTCATTCCTGTCGTGCAGTGCCCTATAATCTAGCTAAGGCCACTGACTTCACCAGCTATCCTGGGCATTAGTCACTAACTGCGCACAAAAGAACATCAGTCTCACTCTTCCTGGGCTCAAAGGCTCAGAAACAGCAAACTAACACTCAGCCTCAATTCCAGTCAATCAACTGAAGAAAAAGAAAAGAGAACAAAGAAAATAGGCAATTAAGGAGGGAAAAGTGTAGAAGTGAGAATTGATAAAAAGCAAGAAATCATCTTAATAAATGCTAGTAGCATTCCGGTTCAAAACCATTAAAGCACTGGGCAAAAGAAAACATAGGGCCCTATACTAGATTACTGCACATAGCTATAGTCCTGTTTAGCTACTTAAGTCATCCCCTTTTCCACAAGGTTATATCTTTTTTTTTTTAATTAGGATTTTTTTATTTTAAACCTTATTGTATAGATGATGTACAGAGGGGTTACAGTTACACGAGTCAGGTAATGAGTATGTTTCCTTTTGAACAGTGTCACTCCCTCCCTCAGGTTTGTTAGATCTTAAAGAGTTAAAAAAAATCTTTAATTTTTTTATTCGTGTGTGTTGTGTATGTCTGTGTGTGAGAGAGACAGAGAAAGAGTGTGTGTATGTGTGTGTGTGCGCGCGCGTGCGTGTGGTCTTTGGGTACAGAGTCCCGTATAATAAGACTATTTGTATTCATACTGGCAGAGTAAACACTACATGTTCATGCCCAGGCAGCTCTGTGCTTGTAATTTCAGCAAGAACAGAGCTCTGTCCCTCTGGGACTTCACTATTCCCCCAGTCTCCATTCACTCAAACATAGAATAAGAGTAGAGAGAAAGCGGGAGAGAAAGATCATGGCAAGAGGTTTCACACAGCACTGCAGCTAGCTTTCACGTGGCCAAAATCTCATTTTGTGTTTTAATTACATTAGTTAAACCATTTTACTCTCAGCTCCATGTTCACAAGGGTGCCTTCCATTCCTGAACAGTAGCCCAATGAATCAGAATTTAAGTCTAGTACAATGAAGCTTTCCTTTGCTGCTGAGTTCACTAAGCAGATGCTACATACAGTCGCACAAATCTCTGCTTCAACTTTGTGTGTTGACAAGTATATATCTACTCTTGTATATATCGTATATGTATATATATATATATATTATATATATATATATAAAATAGAATTTTGCCTCATCCTCTTGCCTTTGTTGAGGTGCTAGATTAAAACTTCCACAAGTCTGAATCTCTCCATTTGGTCCAATGCTTATTTCCTCCTTAATACTAAGTCATCTGTTCTTGGCAGCCCCCACTGTATTACAGAAATAGCCTATACCTTGTTTACAGACAAAAACTTTCTGAAAAAGATATTGAATGAAACACAAAAATCTGCATATTATTTCTAGTGATCTACACGTTCTGTTTATGGCTAATACTCAGTAGTCAAGATTGCTCTAAGGAATGAGTTTTATCTACAATTATGATACTATTTTTATCATTGTCACAATTATATAGTAGAAGCATGTTAAAACCAGAAGAATTTCTGGCATGGAGAACAGTACACAGCAGAATATGACTTTATATTACTATTAAAATGTCACTATATGAGAAAGGATGCTAGGGCTAGAAAATGCATTGTTGTATTAACTATCAAAAAATGGGTTTTCTGTTTCTTTTATGTTTAAACTCCTAGTTCTGTTTGACTGCCTTTAAAAAGAATGTATCTATGATGCTCACAATTGGGCCAGATTATATGAATTAAGCATGGAAGATATGCTTAAAAAAAAAAAAGGAAGCTGGGCACTGGTGACTTACACCTTTAAATTCTATCTACTCAGGACTCAGGACACTGAGATCTGAGGTTGGTGGTTCAAATTCAGGCTGGGCAAGAAAGTATGAGACTCTTAGATGTAATTAACCAGCAAAAAGCTGGAAGTAGAACTATGGCTCAAGGGGTAAAGCGACAGCCTTGTGTGAAAAAGCTAATGGACAGTGCCAGGTCTTGAGTTCAAGTTCCAGTACGACACACACACACACACACACACACACACACAATTAGTAAGCAAATATCTAATCATACGCAAAAGAACACAATCTATATTCTCATGTACCTATCACCTATCAACTTTAATGGATCTATATCTCCACCTTCATATCTTTTTATTTTGAAGAAAATCTTAGACCTAAAATTACTTCATTTGTAACTATTTCTGTATGTATGTATGTATGACTAGAAAATAAAACTTTTTCAAAAAGCGAAAAACTGTAATTTTCAAAAAGCAAAACTGTAATATCAGTATCTCACCTGAAAGCTTTACCATTAATTCCTTGATTTCCATTCAGTGTTGCCTTACAAAAGAATTGTACCAAGACCACCATACTACCTGTGTCACATGGATCTTAATACTATTTAATAAACACTCAAGGAATGCTGGTACTAATAGGCACAGAAACAGGAACGAGAGAAGGGGTTTCAAATACTTGCCTCATTTCCTCCTGGAAGCCTGTTCATGTGCACCAGCTGCCCTTGATCATCCAACACCAGTTCAGTATATGTCAGCATGTCAGAGGGCAATGGAGGTGAGGGAAGGAATGCTTGAGTAGACATAGACTCCCAGAGTTTGATCAGAGACTAGTGAGGGAGAGAATTTTTACTAATCAGTGATAATTAACATTTCAATATGAACAGAAGTAATTATTAAGACTCAGTCAACCTGGTTTTGCTTTCTTTGTCAAGTGCTTTGCAAAGAATGCAAACATTAGACTAAATGTTCTACTGCCACTATCACTAAATACAGATCTGTAATTATTTTTAATATATTTTTTGGCATGGAAAAAGTCAGGTCTTTTTCCAGCAAAATCAAACTACTGAGTGAAACTGAATCAGAATTAGGTCACTAGCCAATACAAATGCTCTAACACGCCGGGCGCTGGTGGCTCACGCCTGTAATCCTAGCTACTCAGGAGGCTGAGATCTGAGGATCGCGGTTCAAAGCGAGCCAGGGCAGGAGAAACCGTGACACTCCTATCTCTATAAACCACCAGAATACCGGAAGTGGCGCTGTAGCTCAAGTGGTAGAGCGCTCACCTTGAGCTGAAGAGCTGAGGGACAGCGCCCAGGCCCAGAGTTCAAGCCCCATGACCAAAAAAAAAAAAAAACAAATGCTCTAACACTACCCGGGAAATATTAAAATTAAAAAAAAATAAATAAGGAGTTGGGAGGGGGAGTAAAACACATATTCAGCTAAAAACAAACAAAATCTAGGAAAGCCAGATTGAGGCCATTATGATGTCTATATTCAACTTTCTATATAAATGAAACAAATCCTTTCTGAAGTGGGAACTAGTTCACATCTTTTTTTGTATACTTTAAAGCAACATTTAAAGTCCAAATGACTCATACAAACCCACATGTCCTATTGTGTTTATGTCAATCACAAAAAAAGAATTATACAGACTGGGCTGGGTGCTGGTGGCTCACACCTGTAATCCTAGCTAATCAGGAGACTGAGATCTGAAGATTGTAGTTTAAAGCCAGCCCAGGCAGGAAAATCTGTGGAACTCTTTTTTTCAATTAACCACCAGAAAACCAGAAGTGGAGCTTTGGCACAAAGTGGTAGAGTGCTAGCCTTGAGCAAAAGAGTTCGGGAACAGCACCCAGGTCCTGAGTTCAAGCCCCACAACAGACAAAAAAAAAAAAAAAATCACACAGGATCAAATTTCTATTTATAGCATTGACACTCAGAAACATAACCCTCACTCAGTTTCAGGCTAGCAATGCTATTAAAGGGAAATCATGAAATGAGATGTATATGTGCGTGCATGCGTATGTATGTGTGTGCGCGTGCGCATGTATGTGTGTATGTGTGTGTGTGAGTGTGTTTCAAGAGACAGAACTTGCAAATGAATGGTTACATTAAGGTAATCCTTGAATTTGTGAATACAGGAATTATAGACTATCTGCCAATTCCACATGTATTGCTTTATTAAGATTCAAATGTTATAATACTGGAAGTATTGCTAGGAAACTTGGAAAAATCCTATATTCATAGAATTTTTTAAAAACAAGTTCAGTATTCTTTTGATACCTTATTCTTTATCTGTTGTATTTTCTGCTGGTGAAATACTTTTCTTGCCTACTATTGATGGAAGAAAAAGCTGCAGCATAGAGATGATTCACCATATAGATCAAAGGAATTTATTTTCATATAGAGGATGAGATTCATAATGTCATATTTTCTCATGCTAGTTTTTATTCAGCTATAATAAATCTCCCACAAAAGAAGTTATACTTTAAACTGTGTACCATGAAGTCTATATTCATTTGTCTATGTTATCTGTATTGATTCTCATCATATTAGCCTAGGCTATCAGCTAGGAACCAGGGTTATCTTGGAAAATAGGAAAATGAGAACTACAGCTTCGTACTTCTCTTTTAATACCCTTAATTTGAATACAGATTTAGTAAATGTATAAAACTCTTCACTTAGGTCATTATAAGCTACCAGTACAGACACATGGTCTTGGGTTACTTTCTTCTACTTGAGAGACTTCTAGTCTTACCATTCCCCTCATTCATTCTGAAAGAACCACTCAACATTTGAGTTGTCAGTCAAATAATCTTGAACAAAGTACAAATGAAAACAGTGTTGAGACACTTTGGAAGTACTATTTTCTAATTCAGAGCTTCATGTGATAGAAATTCAGGAAAACTTTGCCCTCTTGGAACATATCAGAATCTCCACTATTAGCACCTTTACCTGACGAAACATCTCTGGGATATCATATATATATGTTGTTCCTAAGGATTGGGCCTGAAACCTTTTTGATTGAAGCAGATCTTTGGTCACATATGGAGTGTTGATCAACATTCCATGCAATGGTCCCTGTTTGTCTCCATATGCCTGAAACATGATCTGTAAGGGAAAAAAAGTGGTATGCAGAATTAAGAGACAGAGGGAAAAAATCAGATATTTCCCTATAGGTTTTTGGATTTTTCCTCCTTGAAAATGATTTTTGGTGAGTTAAACAGTTTCTTAAACATTGTGAACAGTTGTGTTCTCTGTTCCTTATAGGCTAAAGTCCAAAAATGTGACACATAACCAGCCCTGTACTGCAAGCTGCTCTTCTTTTTGGATTAGTTGAAACTAAGAACACATGATACAAATTTCCCATCTCAGAGATGTACTAAGGATGTTTCCCTTCTGAAGTGATTTGAATTCCAAATACTCAGAAATAAACTGTATCAACTAACCCGAGCAGTCCCAGTATTTAAGTCCTATGCACTAAAGATAATTCTTATTCTAAGGTCAGATCAAAGTTCTACCAAGTCATTATGCTTTACTTGATTAGAAAGTGCTTCATAAGTATTATTAGCCACACAAAAGCTTTGATGATTTCTTCTAGGTATTTATAAGTTCTTGTGAGCCAGTAAGATATAGCCTATAGTAAAATAACTACATTTTATAAAGTTATATTATACACATATTTCTCTCTAGTATGTCTATAACTAGTAATTCCTGCAATACCTATATTGACACATAATGAAATCATGCCAGTTTTTAATCATTTTAACTCAAATATTTCTAGAAGAGTACTTCATACTCCATATATTTAGCTAGTCTTATTTGCTTATGAATATTTATAAGGGATGCCATTATTTCAATTCAATTAATATTTATTGAGTGCTCAGAGGTTGTATAACACTAAACTAGGCACTTTATGTATGAATACATAAAATATAGAGTCCCAACACAGTGAATGCAAATGGAGATTGGGATGAAAGGGTATGTGTACACCCACATATCTGTTCAGGTCTAAAATATAAGCACATGCTAACATTAATGAATAGATTTGTGGGCCTGATATATAGGCATAAAAATGGGATTAAGTACTTTCCTAAACCCTAGGGATAGCTCAGCTTAGTGAATTCTTAGCCCCCTATGGCTGACTTGTCAATCAGGTCCTATTGTGGGCAAAACTTATCTTAGACTACCTAAAAGCCCACAGACTATAGAGCTCCCAGTGCTCCTCCACAAGACCGGTGGGAAAAAGTCACAATGTGGAAGACAAAATTAGTCTTAGGAATGTAAGAGTAGAAACAGTCATATTAAAGAGAGTCAAAGGGTATGTAAGGCAAGGATATAACACACACACACACACACACACACTCTCTCTCTCTCTCTCTCTCTCTCTCACACACACACACACACTCACTCACTCCAATGCAGTAAGTAAAAGCAGAACGTTCTTGGAACTACATTTCTTTTCTCCTAAAAAGAGACAAGACCTGTGGGTGAAGGGTATAAGACTGAGTTTTGCGAAGGTCTGGAATAAAATTAGACTGTTCATAGTTAAGCAATGTAACAATTTACTGAGAAAGGGAGTTGAAGAATATATTACTGCTGGAATCTAAAACAAGAAACAACTTGTTTTTCCTCCTCCTCCTTTCTTTTCCTTTATTTTCTTGAGAGCTTATTATGTAACCCAGGCTGGCTTAGAACTCATAATCATCCCATAATTATACTTTTACAAATTTATCCAAAATAAAAGAAAATATATGTACATAAAGATTTATAAATAAATGCTTATTATAGAATTCCCAACACCCTTAACGAGGAGATAAAGCTCCATCCACTTTAGAATGGATATAAACATTCAGTCAGTCCATAAAGTGCAATACTACGTAGCAATTAAAAAGAATATAAACTAATCTCAAAAACATTATGTTAAACCAAAAAATACCAGATAAAGATAATGTGTATTTTTTCCATTTGTTTATATGAAGTTCTAGGACAGGAAAAACCTGTCTATGATAATAAAAAGCAAATCAATGTCAACCCTGGAATGGAGATGGTAGGCTGAAAAGAACAATGGAAAACCTTTTGTGGTAATCATGAGATATTCCCTATCATGATTGTGATGCAGTCAAACAAGTGTGTACTGCTGTCAGAAGGAGTGCATTTTACTACATATTAACAGTGTTTCAACAAAGACTGATTTTAAAATGCTTTTTTTTAGGCAGATGTGTTGGTGCAAGCTTGTAATCCTAGCTATTCAGGAGACAGAGGCAGGAGGATCACAAGTTAGATAATAACCTAGGCAAAGTTAGCAAAATACTATCTAAACAACAATAAAAACCCTGAGTGAAGTACTTCAAATCTATAAGCCTAGGTGCTTTGGAAGCAGAGACTGAGAGATTACAGTTCAAAGCCAGTTCAAAGGATTCTATCATAACTCAGGACTGGACAGAGTGGTATGTGCCTATCCTCCCAAGATACTAAGGAAAAACAGTGGGGGGATGCAGGAATGCATACTGGCATTCCATGAACAAAAGGGATCACAGGCCAGACTGACCTGGTCATAAAGGGAAACTCTATCTCAAAATTAATCAATGCAAAAAAGGGCTGGCAGAGTGCCTCAAGTAGCAAAACACCTGCCTGGAGAGCTCAAGACCCAGAGTTCAAACCCTAGTATCATTCTCCCAAAACCCAAACCAAATGAAACTGAAAAAAATCTGAAGAGGTTAAGGGCATAGCTCAAGTGGTAGAGTACTTTCTTACCAAGCATGAGACCTAGTTTAATCCCCATTAATGCAAAAAACAAATAACAAGTGTTATTTTGCTTTTGTACTACATGCTAGAAATTAATTCACTTCTGCAATAGATTACCAAACTCTCTTCTTACTATGACTGACTACCTGTCAACATTGTTTATTATGACCTGTGTACAGGATTACATAAGAAAAGTGAAACTGAAGCCAGTCAACCCATCTCCTTATTGGCAGAATGAATAACTGGTGTGCTAGGACAAGAGGTAAAGGGGACTAATGGAAGCCTTTGAATAACCAGCTAGCTAGGTTAGCTCCACTTTCGACTATAAAAATACAGGAAATAAAAAACCAGTAAAGTTCGTGATAATGTGTATATTGTTATATAGTTCCCCTTTTACAAGAGACTGGATTCTCTTAGAAAATGATCTCTGCCCCAGAGTCTGCTGCCTTAGAACCCTGTACTTTCATGTTATGATGGCACATATGCCTCAGAGAAACAAATTATCTTTTTCCATTGGGATGTAAATTTCCAAGCAGTTAACAAATATTAAGTTAACTAATGAATATATGAATGTCAGACATGGCACTATATTACCTTAAATCCTCTAATGATTCATTACAGAAAGAAGATAAAAGCTTAGCAATATGCACCCAGTAGGCATTGGGAGCACAAGAACTGGGCTGGAGGTTGTTCAGTTCCCAGCAAACCTGGGATCACAAAGAATGCCCCAGCAGTGCTCAACTCTCAGCTGAAGAACCTGATGAAAATGTCTTCTGGCAGGATTTTTTTTTTTTTTTTTTTTTTGGGTCCAGTCGTGGGGCCTGAACTCTGGGCCTGGGCGCTGTCCCTCAGCTCTTCAGCTCAAGGCTAGCGCTCTACCACTTGAGCCACAGCGCCACTTCCGGCTTTTTTCTTTTTGCTTATGTGGTGCTGAGGAATTGAACCCAGGGCCTCGAGCATGCAAGGCAAGCACTCTACCACTGAGCCACCTTCCCAGCCCTGGCAGGATTTCTTGAAATATGCAAGATCACAGTAAAAGAGGAACCCTCAGGTTAACAGTGTCATTCTTTCACATGCCTCCTGAGTGCTGATTTCATGCCAGGCACCTAAGCTCTGATAAGGCACCTATACCTTTCATGATCCTGTGTCACCACTAGATAGCATGAGGAAAATGTAGGAGCTTGCTAATAAAAGAAAAAGGAAGTAGTCATGAAAATCAAACATATTTACCCAAAACATTAACATCTCAAATCATCTTATTTTTACAAGAATGTGCTTCCAGCTGGGCACCAGTAGCTCACATCTTTAATCCTAACTATTCAGGAGGCTGAGATCTGAGGTCTGTGGCTCAAAGGCAGCCTGGGAAGGAAGGTCCCTAAGACTCTTATTTCCAATTAAGCACTAATAAAGCCAGAAGCAGAGCTACGGCTTAAATGTTAGAGTGCTAGCCTTGAGGGGAAAAACAAAACAAAATAAAAAAAAAAACCCATAAACAGTGCCTAGGCACTGAGTTCAAACCCCAGACTGGGGAAAAAAATGTTTTCCTAGAAGAAACTATAGAACTACCATGCCCAACTTGTTTTATAAGATAGGGTCTCACTAACATTTGCTCCTGTTGGCTTTAGCTCTCTGCCTCAAGAGTAGTTAGGCATGAGCCACAGTGCTTTAGTATGAGGTTTAGTATGAGGCTTTCTTGGTACTCTACAACTTGAGCCATGCTTCCAGATTGGCTTTTTGCTGGTTAACTGGAAATAGGATCTTTCTGCTCAGGATGGCTTTGACCCATAATCCTTCAGATCTCACACTCCTAAATAGCTAGGATTAGAATTGAGCTACCAGTGCTCAGGAAAAAAGAATTCTTTTAATTTTTTTTTTAAAAAAAGAGACATTAATATTATCATAGAATTTGTACACTGTGTCATTTTTCATCTTTGTATTCTTGGTATTTGTTCCCTGAAAAAAAAATTAAAGTTTGACACTTTGTTCCCATGTTGAGATAAAACAAATCTGAATTCTGTAAAGATGTATATAAACAGAGAAGCATAGGGAGAAATATGAAGCCACTGTACGACACTCATTTATTATACTATGTTGAAGTTTTACTACTTCAAGATAGAAGTTAGTGACATACTCCAACAATTTTCCTTTCCTTACTTGCCAAAGAATTGTCTAATTGCACTGAAAACAAAGAAGAAAAATGACTAGAAGACCAGACTGCTAAAGTAGCCCAAACAAAAAACCAACACAACCCCAAATTGCAGAATTACATGTGGAGTCAGGTTCATTTGGCATTTTTCTAGTGTTCATCAGTATGTGGCAAAATGTTGAGGGTTTTATAACTGCCATGACTAAGAACATAGGCATTATTTTATAAGGCAAATGAGGGTTTTTCAAGTTCACATAACCACTTAAGCTGAAAGAGTGTACCAATGGGGTTTGTTAGGTTGGGTTTTCCATAACAAAGACAAGTGGCTTCTCTGTAGGACCAAACAGAATGGGGAAGAGCTGGCTTGACTACTGTACCTGTGCTGTCCTGGAGTCAGTCACTTCCTTGTAGAGGCTGATGTCCAAGTAATAGCCAGACTCGTTTGTCAGGAAGAGGCGGATGGGAATTGCTTTTCCAGTTGGTGTCAGGCGAATGTTGATTTTCAGTTCTGCCTGGAGGACGCGCAATTTCCACAGCCGACTTCCATAGCGCATTACCATGCTCCGCACAGATTCCTCAATCTGACACAGACACATCACCAAGCACAAAACTTCAATATCTTGTAACTAAGACCTGGTTAAGGTCTGCCCATCTTTGGGAAAGGAAAAGTGGAAAAAGATGCTGGCTTGTGGAGATGTACACCACACATATTCCTGACAAAAAGTGGTCAAATAGTTTCTCCACAACCTATTCTTGCTTGGAACAAGTCAGGGACAATTTCTTGCTGGTTTGGCGTTTCAGTGGTTTCCTTTGACTAACAACACCTAAATCTGTACAATTTCTTCCCCTTTCCCAATTATATTCCTACTCTATATCAAAGATCTGTAATATCTAAAATTAAAAGCCATGAGATTTAAGCAAAAGCCCAAATAAGAATAAAATCTCTAGTTAAATAGCTATTAAGTAGCATTTATATGCATGGTAACTATGTTTCATTGCAGTTACAGGACCTTAAATCAACATAGCAATTACCACCATGAGCTTTTTTTCCATACAATTTTATTAAACTTGATAATATATGTCTACTGGTAAATTGCACGAATTAAAGAAAGGCAATCTGTAGACTATACTATACCATTCTCTCTAAACTTAAAGTTTGGTCACTGCTAAGTCCAAAAGGGAATTAAAGAGTTGGGACCTCCTGGGTTTCTTTACATCTTATGATACCTTATAGCTCAGTATTCTTGTTTTTCAGAGTTAGGAGTTATTTTAGTTAAGTGATTTTATAGGTGATTTTGTTATTGACATACAAAAGCAAAACTTTCTAAAATACTTCCTTAGTGTCCTACAAAATCTCAATCATCTTTCTCTAATGATTTTTTTTTTTTGGGTCAGTCATGGGTATTTGAACTCAAGGCTTGGGTACTATTCCTGTGCTTTTCTGCTCAAGGCTAATGAGCCACAGTACCACGTCTGGTTTTCTGGCAGTTAATTTGAGATGAATCTCATAGTTTCCTGCATGAGCAGGCTTTGAACTGTAATCCTCAGATCTCAGCCTCCTAAGTGCTAGGATTACAGGAGTGAGCCAACAGCACCCCACCTCCAATGATTCTGTGCCACCTTGCAAGCTTGCTTCTGCACCACAGAATGTTAATTGAGAATGGGTTTCAAAGAGTTAACTTCCTTATTCTCACATTTGCTTGCCACTAAGAGATATTTATCCATTCTTTTCTCAAGGGAATGAAAGCCAACAATCTCTATGTACAGGAAAGTGACAGCTGTCTATGATTGGCAAAGCAGCGCCTGGGCATGTGGGTATTTAGAATGGAGGAAGCAGGAAGTCTGACATTAAAAATTTGAGAAAAATCAAAAGTACATGCCTACAATAGATCTGGAGAAAGGGAAATACTGGCCATCCTATCTAAGCTCCATCATATCACGACAGAGTCAGAGGGAGCAGAAATAGAGCAGCTTGTTCTTGCTGTACCCAAGGTAAGAGTCAGGTACAGAATTATCTTTTTTTCTTTCCTTAAATTATATAGAATGTATTTTAGAACAAAGCGCCCCAGGGAAGAAAATAAGACATAGTATATGTGAAATTCCTTATTAGCCAAATTCTCTTATTGTAGAAAAACACTAAAAAAAAAAAAAATAGGTCAGACATTTTAGAAAGTGCTTTATCTCACCAACGCCACCAACGAATTAACATTTAGTACAGTTTAGTACACAGTATCAGTAATTTAGCCCAAGCCTAATAGAGAAAAAATAATTATTCCAGAAGAGAAATCCTAGAGAATATAAAGCATGATCACTAATGTGGCAACTATCACAATATTAGTACCAATGCAGAGTTTTTATTACAGCTTATAAATGACCAGCAAGCTAACAGCACACCCTTTCACCAAGAGGACTGTTCCTAAAGGCTACAACAAATTTTTGACACTCCCCAGAAATTAGAAGCAGTCTGCAAACTTTAAAGATAAACAACTGGACCTACTTACACAAGTACTCACTTCGAAATTCATGTGAAATACACATAACTCTTTCCTAGTGCTCATAGAGAAACTGTAAGAAAAATACCTTTGATGGGTCCATGATAACAGTGGGTACAAAGTTGAGGAAGATATGGTTACAGTCGGTGCGAACATTCGTGTTGTTAAAAGCAACTTCCAATTCATCCATGGCTTCCAGGAGCAGCCTCTCCCCTTCATTTTGTAGATATTCAAAAGAAGCTTCCTACACAGGAAGAAAATCACCAACATTCATGTGTTTTAAAGGCAATAAAGAATTGCTGTTATGATAACTTAAAGATCCATATGTCATGACTCATAAAGTACCTGTTAAAGACATTATTTTACTTTTCTCTCTAGTGTCAGTTTAGTGACCCCAACACCAGACCTTTCTTCTGCCTCTTAGTGTTTTGTTTTTACCCATAGGTGGAGCTGGTAAACATCCCTGAGCTGTGCCAAATAGGGCTCTATAGAAATGAGAAGTTCCCTGAGGTTGTTCTGCTACATACTTTTCCTTTTCTAGAGTGAGTGCTCTCATGGTTTTATGACTAAGAAATATCAGATAAAGAAAAAGAAGCCTTAATTACTTGCAATATTTACTTTTGTGAGAGAAATGACTTCCAGACATCTGTGAGCTATTAGGAGACTAGAAGAGAAAATGAAGAGTCTTGATTCAAACTATAAAAACTTGATTTTGAACCATGCTTATGTTTCTGTCACTTCCCAGAGGGATAACTTCCAGTTAAAAGTACAGCACCCACCTTTGTGACCAGATCAGAATGTCTAATGATTGCACGAACAAAGAACCTGTAGTCTGTTACTTCTGTGCCCACTTCCACCTTGGCTGCCCCAAGATACAGGTGCATTTTATGATTAGCACATGGAATAGCAGTAAGGTCGAAATTTCTCATCCGGTTCAGTTCTAACTGAAAAGCCAGAGCAGGCTCCAAGTGACGATAGATACGATCTTCCTCAAACTGAACAGGAAAATCAGAGAAAACAATGGCTTACATGAGGCAATTACAAAGTTATATTATGATTGGGTAAGTTAAAGGGATGATTAAAAAGAGAAATATAAAGAAGTATAACTGTGACTCAAGTGGCAGCCTTAAGCACTAGTCTTGAGCAAAAAGAACTTAAGGGACAGAGCTTAGGACCCTGAGTTCAAGCCTCAGTACTGGCATCAATTAAAAAAAATTAAAAACATTTTACACACACACACACACAAAAAAAAAACCCAATAGCTACACTGTGGTAATAGACAACAAAAACAGCTGCAGGCAAAGCTATTGTTATGGCTTATGTAAGACTAAAGGCCAGAATACCTATTCATGTCCCAAATTTTCAGCATTATTTTTTATAATTAACCATAGATTGCTTCACGTTAACACCTTTTTCACATTCTGATATTTGGGGCATTTCTTTAAAATATTTGGATTTGGAGCATAATATGCCTACAGATACATAATATTTATCTTTTCAAAAGCTGTAATAGTATATTTACTATATGCTTTCCTGAAACAGAATAGTTTCTTGTAGTGTACAAGTCAACTATGTGAACAGAGAGAGATAGAGCAAAAATGTAAGCTGGTAAAGAAACCCAAATGGTATAAACTGTTACATATTAAAACTGAAAAACAAACAAGAGCTCAATGTGTCTGTAAAGGACAAAAATTATCCTACTAAGTGTAGAGCCCTTTAATATCATTAGATCTATTCTAAAAAGGATAAGAATGATCTGCAAACATGAATGACTGGTTCCTAAACCAAACACTTTCTAAAGGGAGTGTGCTTACTTGGGTAAGGCAAAGGGAAAATTAAAGATCATAAATGTACAGGTGCACAAGAAAAGGGTGGGAGGGGGTGGAGAAAAAGCAAGAGCAGACCTTACCTTATCCCTTGCTCGGAAGGTGAAAAATTTAGGAAATTCTCTCTGCGTTAAAGAAGTAGGGGAGAGAAATGTTAGTCCTTCAGAGATATGGCTCTTTGGGGACAAACATACAATATAAAAGTAGTCAAGTATCTAAAGAGAATTTCCTTAAAAACATGGTCCTTATCCAAGCATAGTCCAGGAAATATGAATAATTTCCTTGGTAACTATCACTTTGACCCCCACTTCCAAATTTGAGATTACTCAACTGTTAACCTAACTTTAGTATCTATCTTCTCATAAAAAAGAAGTTTGTGGGGTTTTTTTAATGTGTCTTCTATGTGGAAGAAAAAAGTTTGCTTTTGGAACAACCTGGCAAATAAAACCAATACACCTCTATGCTATAGCCATTGCAGTTGTACTTACTGGGTTGATTTCCCAAGTTTCTCCTTAAGAAACCCTTAAAATGTAAACCAGCTAGATAACATAGACTCTTCAGACCAAGGTGCTGTTGTTTTCCACATTCACTGTCAAGTCAATATTTCAAGAGTTTAAATAATAACATTTAAAAATTAGTATGAGATGCCACTTTAGTTACCACTCTTACGTCTAGGGAAAAAAGGGGGCAGAACTAGTGAACTTGTAATTGCTAGGTTTTAACTCCTCTTTTGCAGCACATTACACAAGAAAGCAACCAATTCACTAGAACCTTATTAATTAACAAAGATGAATTCAATTAGCAGAGTTCATTAGTTTCTGAAATTTAACTTATTAACACCAAATACCCCTGTTTCTCGGATGGGAAGGTCTACTGGCAGTGCTAGCATCAAGTCATTACTATTTGTCTCTATAGGAGGTTTCATTAGGCAACTTCTTCATTATGAGTGCAATATAATCAAACACTTGATACAAAACAGAGAGAGACCAGAACTAGCTGCCTACATATCCTTCAGTGGGTTTTTTAGGAACCATGAAGGAAACAAATGAAAATCTTTTAGGTGTTGGCCCATCAAATGTTCTTAATAACCTAGAGGGAAACTAATTTTTTATTATGACTTCCTTCTCACCCCAAATTTTACAAATAAGCAAGTCTAGGATTACAAGATATACATAGGATCATAGAAGAAGAAAATAAACCTAGTCTTTACTATTCAAAAGCTTATACTTTTTCACCTCTAAAGTACAAGACATTATGTTTCTGTTCTTCTAATCGAAATTCCTTATTCAGGGAATTTCTCTTTGATGAAACAAACAACAATGAAAAAACAGAAAATAAAATTTTAAGGAAGAGTTTGAGATGGCTCAGGTAGTACAACACTTGTCTAACATGCACAAAAGACTTTTTAATGGGGAGGAGGGAGGAGGCTAGGAAACAAAGCAAAGGTCATACTGAAAATATGAGGTTTTTAGTTTGCTGAAAATTTCTTGAATAGTTGCTACATTATATTTCATCCTCATCATGTACAGTAATAAATCTGTTTATATTTTCTTTGGCATTTTAATTAAAAAAACTGAACATACTTGTAGGAGTTAATTTACCAAGCCTAGGGAAATCCCTTGTCCATACTTGAGTATTTAAAGGCCCCTTAAAAGGGGATTATAAAGGACTAATCTTTTACTAGTATTTTGTTCTAAATAATTCTCTCTGACACATTCTATTCCCTCTGACCTAATGGCAGGGAAGTACATGAGTAAGTAGGAAGAGTTGTCAGTAGGTCATATGCTTAAAGCTTTTACATATCTAGTCTGGCCTTCAGAAAATTACCTAAAAAGTAATACATGTCAAAGAGGGAAAGATAGCTGGATACTGAAGGCTCACACCTCTAATCTTTACTACTCAGAAGGACTACACCTGGAGGACTGTGTGTTGAGGCCAGCCTGGGCAGAAGAATCCTGAAAGACTCCATCTCTAAAATAGTGAGCAAAAAGGCAGAACTGAATGTACGACATTAAGCAGTAGAGTTCTAGCCTAGCAGACACAAGGCCTTGAATTTAAACCTTTTTACCAAGAAAAAGCCAAAACAACAACAACAAAAAACTTTGAAAAGTCAAGAAATGTTAAGCACATACTTTACTATTCTATGTAGACTATTATTACCTAATTAATAAGAGTATTTATTTGGTGTAATATTTATTCAATTATGTACATTTGTACTATTTCCACTCAAAAATAAAACCATTTTCTTTTAAAATACAACAGTAATGCCAAAAAATGCTTTCTTTTTCTATCAAACTAATTAAAAATTTTTGTAGTAACTGAAAGGCAGGAAAAGAAAGCAGCTTAAGTGGAAATATCTTTATTACAAATAATGAAGGAGACTAATTCTTAGAGGAGAACAAACTATCTCTAGGTGACAAGAGCACACAGCAACTACCAATTAAGAAAACCACTTTCAGGCTACAGGAGTAGCTCAAGCAGTACAACACCAGCCATGAGGGAAAAAGCTAAATAACAGAATGAGGCCCTGAGTTCAAGTCCCAGTATCATTAATAAAATAAAATAGAAAGTTCAGTTTCATTTAGGTTACGAAAGGGTATCATAACAAATTTCTCTTTTGATTTCGAACTTTTGAGTAAATTTAATATGCATGGCAAAATCTTTAAAAACTGAGCATTTAAAACAGGGGGTAGCAAAAACTTCAGTTCTTGCTGAAAGCAAAGCTATCAAGAAATTCTTCAAACTGGGTGCCAGTAGCTTGCATCTAATCCTAGCTACTCAGGAGGCTGAGATCTAAGGATAGCAGTTCAAAGCCAGCTTGAAGAAGAAAGTCCATGAGACCCCTATCTCTATTAAACTACCAAAAAACAAAACAAAATGATGAAACCAGAAGTGGAGCTGTGGCTCAAATGGTACAGTGCTAGTCTTGAACACAAAGGCTCAGGGACAGCACCCAGGCCCAGAGTTCAAGCCCTAGGACTGGCAAATTAAATAAATTAAAAATTCTTTGAGATATCAGAAGTCTAAAGACTTTTGTATTATATAAGCTACCCCCCTTACCCTTGGGCATTCAAAAAAACAATAGAATCACAGTAAATTCTTTAACCTGAAGCCCAAGAATGGAATCAGTCTTGGCAAAAGGAAGTTCTCCAGATTCTACCTCATTTAATGGTTGGGAGTAGTGGCACACACCTGTCACCACAGCTACAGGAACCTACAATGTCTGGGCACAGTGACATGTAACTGTCAACTCCAGCAACACAGGGAGAGAGACACAAGCAGGAAGATTACAGCCCACACTGGCTTGAGTATAAAGGGAGACCTTACTTTGAAAATAGCCAGCATAAAAAGGGGCCCGAGGCATAGTTCAAGTGGTTGAATGCCTACCTTGCAAATATCAAGCCCTGTGTTCACTCTCCACTAATGCCAAAATTTTTTTTTAAAATGTCTTCACTACACCTCATTTTCATGCTGCCAATTTTTCCACTAACAGCATCCATGCTTATTCCATCACTAATGCAATTGCTTTCCAGGCATTCTACTAGGTTTATAGGCAAATATCATAATTGAATGTACACACACACACACACACAAAAAAAAAACCCTCTTAGTGTTCTGGTACCAAAGAAAAAAGAAAAAAAGAATGCAACATTTCTCAGGAAGAAATTATGCCCCTGCTGTGTTCTAATCAGCCAACCATCATCAAGACAATCAAAATAATTTGCCTAAATTAGCCAATCAAGACACCCTGCAAATCAGAGAATGTGAAAACCTGCAACAGAAAACATCATAGCTGATTATGATACTAATAATCGTGTTAAAAACCTAATGAGATGAAGAAATTGGGAGCTTGCTGGTGCAATTCTCTTTTACCTCAACATGCTGAGAACTAATTAAATAGACTGTAATTAAAACAAAAACCTAAACCAAACCTTCTGAAAACTAATAGTTGGTCCACTAGTAAAGAGAACTACCTTTTCATAACAGGGTGGGGAGGGAGGGAGAGAAAGAAAGAAAAGAGGAAAGAAAAGAAGAGGAGAGAAGAGGGGAAGGGAGGGGAGGGGAGAGGGAAAGGAGGGAGACAAAATACTAACCATTATAAATGTTCATGCACAGGGACCAAGTAATGCAAAACATTTAATTTTAAAGCGAGAGTTACACAAAAGTCATGAAACTGTACTATCCCTTAGGAGAATTCTGGCAATTTTTTAAAACCTCATGAAATTGGGTACGAAAGAAATCAAAGGAAATATTTCATAAACCAACATTTGTAAAACTGAATTAGAATCTTACCAGTTTTTGGATCTCATATTTTTGTTTTATGTGGCTAAAGAAAGGAAGAAATCCTGATAATACTCATTTTAGTATGCCTCCAAAAAGTTCCTTTAAAAAGCCTAATATAACCCAATTAAAACTTTCTGATAATTTTTTTTGAACTAGAGACCTAAAATGTGAGTAACAAGAGTTGATAAATTTAAACATGGAACTACAGAACCACAGCTTATAAACAGTTGTAGAAATTGAAGAAACTTATTCCTTTGCTTTAAAGGCTTTTATCCCCCTCTTATTTCTTTTTAATAAGATCTGTATCTACTCAAACTTATTTAAGTATCAAGTTATACTGTTATTTAAGTTTCATTAGTTATTTTTATTTATTTATTTATTTTTGCCAGTCCTGGAGCTTGAAATCAGGGCTTGAGCACTGTCCCTGGGCTGCTTTTGCTCAAGTCTAGAACTCTACCACTTGAACCACAGTGCTACTTCCAGCTCTTCCTGTTTATATGGTACTCAGGAATTGAACCAGGGCTTGATGCATGCTAGGCAAGCACTCTACTACTAAGCCACATTCCCAGCCCCTTATGGTTGCTTTTAATTAGTAGGTTATGGAAGAAGACTGACACCCAGTCCTCTCCTTTTAGTGGTCAATCTTGCTCTCTCTAGAGGAATCTCCATATGTAAGAGTCAAACAACTAAGGCAGCAGCAGATATATCTGTGGCAAGTTTTCTGGGAACTATAGTAATTATACAATGAATACTCAAAATGCTATGGATTTCCCTGGCATCTGATACCTCATATTACACCTCTCCCTTACGGACTGGCCCTCATTTGCCAGCTCTGAGGCAATCTGAAAGATCCCAAACTTTGAAACAGCACAGATTGATTCATTCCACACCAACAAATGTTGTTCTTAATAAAAACTTGGTAACCTTCCTCCTCTCCTTGCCCCCTAATGTGCACATTCTTTCTTCAATAATATATGGATTTCACAGTGTAGAACAGGGGAGGCTGCATACATCACTGTGGATTACCAAGAAGCCAGGGAGATCAAGGGATTCATCCCTAACACTCCTGAAAAGCTTCCTCTTTTTCACTCTACACTATGTGCCAAGCACATATCAGATGACATGACAGAAGTTAAGTATCCTTCATGAATGGCAAGCTACTACCAATGAAAAACTCAAAGCAACACCCTGACAGTGAGCCCCAGATTTGTACAATTCTTGCCCAGGTTTTCTGGTTATCATGGATGCCAGATGGAGTTCAGTAAAACAACAACTAAAAACAAAAACAACAACAACTAAAAAACCACAAAGAAAGAATTATTATTTCTAAGACATACCCCAATTCCTCTTTCATTCAATCCCGTAAATCAAGTTCAGCCCACATCCAACCTTAACATTCTCTATGCTCTAAAGCAGCCTTTCTTATACCCATGACAAAACAGGCTACTTGATAATTCCAATAATTTCCCACTTAGTGACACTATAAATAGGAGCTAGACAATGACTGCCAGGCCCTACCCCCCTACAGCTAGCCTTTGCCTAGACATTTCTTCTTTCAACCTAAATCCAGCATATAAGGACATCAAAGGAAAAGCAAAATGTTTCTCAAGCTGTTAGATAAACTCTAAGACACAACATAGATTCAGAGATAAGAAGGACTTTCACATACTATAAAATAATAAAAACTGTGAGAACTAATAATTCTGGCTTTTTAGTGGGCAGGATTTTCTTGTTTTTGTGGTCCTGAGCCTTGAACTCAGAACCCTGAGCTTGCTAGGTGGGAGCTCTACTATTTAGTTATGCCTCCAGCTCATTTTTGCAATGGTTATTTTGAGAGTCTTGCTTTTTGCCCAGGTTTTCACTTGAACCAAGATCTTCCTATTTTATGTGCCCTACAGAAACTAAGGTTAACAGGTGCATGCTGCCATGCCCAGCTTCTTCTACTGAGACAGAGCCCCATGAACTGCCCTGGACCTACAATCTTCAAAGTCTCAGCCTCTTATGAGATGACAGGTACACATCACTAGACCCAGATAGATATTAGCTGAGATGTGGTCTCATGAACTTTTTTTTGGCCTGGGCTGGCCTTGAACCTTGGATCTTCCTGATCTCCGCCTCACTGGTTAGATCGATTATAGGAACTAACAAGCTACCCTGGCCTGGCTTAGTTGGCAGATTTAATTGATCATGGAATACTGACTCTGGAAATCAGTTAGTAGTGTGCTATCATCATGAAGACTTTATGACTACAAAAAGATAAATATACATACTGTGTCATTTTCAAGAATAATATACTATTTTTCAAAAGTCAGTGGCAAAAAGAAAAAGCTTCCCAATCTTCATGAACCTACCCACTTATTATTCCAAAATCCAGAGCCTTGTACTATCATGTATACTTTTGTTCTGCTCAGCACTACCAGGCAGTGTTTATTCATGGGCTCTCATATTCTGTCCTCTAGTATCAATTTTATACTGTAAGCTCCTGATTTTTCTTCCTAAAGCCCCAGGGTTCTCTTTAAGCTCCTCATACTTCTCCACTGATGCCAGTTTTCTATCTAAAATTATTGATTGATATATATCTACACTCTACTTGATTTCCTGACATCAATAACACAAGGGAATCATGTAGTAGACAACATTTCCTAAAGCATTTCAGAAAATCTTGGCTCTTGAGCTTGCAGGGTAGGCATTCTTATTTCTCTGTATAGTAGATCAGCAAGGTGAATTGTATGAAGAAAAATGTCAAGTGCTAAAGACTTAATAAGCAAAAGGTAATAATAGCAATCACACACAGGTCCTTGGGTTCAGAAAGTCCTTTCTGGAACTGCAAACATTACAGCAAATGAACAGGACTTGAACACTACTAAAAAACAGAAAAACAAAAGTAAAAACTTTTATCTGGAAAATTAAGACTTCTTAATGTCCTGTGGAATATTTAGCTACAATAGGGTCAATTTTTAATGAAACAATTTTTAGAATGACATCATGATTGTAAACTAACTTCTTGGCCTTACGGTTATCACCATACTGGGTAAATTCATTGGGGAAAACATAATTCAGATGCCAGCCAATTGGTTACTTCTTTTTCCAGTAAAATTGTAATAATATTGAGTTAATTTATCAAAGTGAAAGAGCAACAGAATGCTTAATTTTTATTTATTTAGAATTAGCCTAAGACAAAAATAGTAATTTAGGCTCTGTAAAAGCATTTTAAATAATAATGTATTGGTCTTGAGAATTGAGACTTCTCAGTAACAGATTTTGAATTTTTCTTTGGTAGAAGGCCCAATCTCAAACACAATGGTTATTTCTTGATTATGGAGTCACTAAATTACCATTTAGCTCCTATTTCTACCATATTCATCTGAAGAAATATATTGCTTATTCTTAACTATTCCCATAACTATGTTGACAATTCATATGAGCAAAGAAAAAGTTTTCACTGAAACACTGGAAAATTAAATATATTCACTGTACTACTTTCTAAAAGAAGAAGGATCAAAGACAATCTCATCTTTCTATATAACTTAGACATATCTGTGTAAATAAGCAGTGGCAAACAGATAAAACTGTAAGTCATCTTTTATAAAATTTTTCTTTTTACTTACATGAAATCTCTGATCCACCTCACAATTGACCTGTTTTCTGAAATCCTTTCAAATAAAAGAAAGAAAGGGGAAAAAAAAAAACAGCAGAAACTGTCAATCAGTAATAACATTAAAATCAAATTGAGTAATATGTAATGTTTATAAAGTCCTTCCCAGAATTCTAAGTGTTGCCTAATTCTTCAATTAAATTTACAGAAAAAGTTATTTCCTGGCATAAATTCTATAAGTAAGCATGTAACTGTGATTCATGTTTACTTTTTTAAAATTCAGCAGCAACATAAATGCCAGAAAAATATAATTCATGTCAATACCTTTTGTGCCACAAGGAAAGTAAGGCGTCGGATTCCATGCTCAACCAGGGTAGCTTTCTATGAAAAAACACATAAAAGAGAAATGATATTTCCATTCATTCTAAATTTTACCCTCTTCAATTCTTATAAGGCTTTGATTGTGGTAAGCATCTTTTTGGATATCTTTATCTCAGTCCAGATCCTTCACTTTTGCAAATAAATCAACATGACTACTAAGACTAAGTCTTATGATGTAGGTTTTACACTGATCAGGAAAAAAATAGAAAGAAAATCTTGTGGAAGAGAAAGGGTTCTATGAAGTCAAATTCTGAATTCATTCACATTAAGGTAAAGTTTCATGCAAGTTATGGTTACAGAAATTATGCTACTGAACATTCAACTGTGAAGACTATCTCTGATATAGAAGCTAAATGAATTTATAAGGAGGAATATAAAGAATGGTTCACAAAACAGGAAATATAGGCCCTATACAGTTGTTTCGATGGTATCAATTACAGCACTCCTGGAATTTAACCTCACAATTCCTATCCTTTCATTTCTTCTAAAAGTTCCCCTTTATTTCCCCCCCCCTTTTTTTTGGGTCCAGTTGTGGGGCCTGAACTCTGGGCTTGGGCACTGTCCCTCAGCTCTTTAGCTCAAGGCTAGCGCTCTACCACTTGAGCCACAGCGCCACTTCTGGCTTTTTTCCCCTTTTTTTTGCTTATGTGGTGCTGAGGAATCAAACCCAGGCCTCATGCATTGCAAGGCAAGCACTCTACCACTGAGCCACCTTCCCAGCCCCACTTTTCACACCTTTTAAAATGGGTAAAAGCATCTAGGTATGGTGGCATCTACCTATAATCCCAGAGTTTGGAAGGCTAAAGTAGAAGGGTAATGAGCTCAAGGCCAGCCTGGATTACATAAAATTAGAGGTCATTCTCAAAGCAAGCAACCAAAAATACTTGAGAGGATGGGTAGGATAAGAGAGATAAAAAAACAATGGAAGGGTTGATACTGATCAAGGTTCATTGTACCCCTAACCTGACATGTTGAATTGAAACCCCTTTTTAGGACTAAAGATTATACACACATCCATGAATACATACACATATATGTACATATATACTTGTACATATAGTATTCACATAGACAAACAATATATCAGAGGAAAAATAAAGATCGGTAGTTTTCTAGACAGCCTTGGTCTTCTGGCCCTAAGCCTTCCTCTATCCTATACTGCTCACTTACCTCAAAAGGCAAAGAAACAAAGTGTGAATTAAGTGAGAGACAAGCTTTTAAATGTCCCTAATAAAGAGCTACATCCCAGCAAGTAGAAAATCAGCTCCACTGGTTACATGGCTTGAGAGAATATATGAATAGTACACATTTCAGAACCTATAACTGACTTTACATGCCTTGCTAAAACTTAAATAAAGAAATATGTTTATAAGCCAATTCTCAACTTTCATGGTACAATATGGAGTTTTTAAAATCCAAATTGGCTTCCTTTTATAAAGAACTATGTTCCTGGGTCACTTCTTTTTATTTCTCTATTTCTCTTATAGTATTGGCTGAGTAACAGAATTGAGTTTTATTAATATCACTAGCAAAAATTAATTGGAAAAATAAATTTAATATTTATAAATTTGAATAATACATTCTCAAGTCAAATATAAATCATATTTAAAAGTTAGGTCACATTTTAAATATAGGTCACATTTGAAACTTATCCATGCTGTCATCATGTTCTTTACCATAAATAATCCAATACTGACAGCATAGTAAGAAAACACTGTGGAAAGGAAGGGGCTGTGGTGATGCTTGGTCTCTCAATGTATACAGTAACAGAAACATTTCTTCTGACACCAACAAAGAATTCCACTACAGTCAAGTCCTTCAGAGACAAGCATCAATAGCTGTGTTCTGGCAAGGAAAGAAAATAACTTTAATAATGCCATGATTTAAAATCAAAATTGTTATTGCTTTTAAAATTCCACAAGTGGCTGACAATAACAGCAGAGCAACAGGATTCTGATTACATTGTAATAATGCGGGTCTCACAGCAAGTCCACAGCTATTACCCAGCGATTAGGCGTCAGCACCTGGAGAAACTCCATTTACACTGACTGCTTCAATCTCCTCCACAAGTCATTTACAAATATATGATCCTAATTTCTATGAGAGAAAAAAAGACATGCTGGGACTAGAAGATTATTTGGACAATTTGGATCAACCTATTTGATAGTTTAATGTGTGCTTTAAAAAAAAGAACTTTTCTAAACTGCTAAGAGCATGATCATGAAGTGAAAAACAAAACTAGTTATCACTCAGGTTTCTTTTTTAAATTGCTATTTTCTTCCTTTTCTTTTTATATATTTTTAAAATAAGAAGATAAAAATATCAGCTATTTCTAGACAAGCATAGTATCTGATGAAGTTAATAGTTTTTCTAGGTTTAGAGTATTAGCAGTCTACTCTGACTCTTCTAATAGCCTTAGGCAAAGACACTAGATTTCTCTGTGCCTCAGTTTACAAGTTTAGTAAAGGAAAAAAAAATGACTTATTGATCACTAATAATATAAATAAATTCAGTAAAAGTGAAGAAACTAGGGTTGGGGATTTAGCTCAGTGGAAGATCACTTGCCTGGCAAGGCAAGGCCCTGAATTTGATCCTCAGCACTGAGAAGAAGAAAGAAAGAAGAAAGGAAGAAGAAAGAAGATGAGGGGAGAGGGAGGGGAGGGGAGAGGATGGGAAGGAAGAGGAGGGGAGGGGAGGGAAGAGGAGGGAAAGGAAGGGAAGGAAAGGGAGGAAAGGGAGGGGAGGAGAGGGGAGGGGAGGACGAGCAACAGGAGCAGCAACAGCTGCCACCACCATCTTTTTTGTCAGTTGTGGGCTTGAACGTTGGGCCTGGGCGCTGTCTCTCAGCTCTTCAGCTCAAGGCGAGCACTCTACCATTTGAGCCACAAGCACTACTTCTAGTTTTCTGCTGGATAACTGGAGATAAGAGTCTCATGGATGTTCCTGCCCGGGCTGGCTTTGAACCATGATCCTCAGATCTCAGCCTCCTGAATAGCTAGGGTTACAGGCGTGAGCCACCAGCACCTGGCATTACCATCTTTTTAAGTCATGTTGAGACAATATACAACACTTACTTAGATATAAGGGTATTTAAAAGCCTAAAGCTGTTGTCAAATTATGGAGAAATCAAATATGGGCAACTAGGGTCTCACAATCTGGGAAGAGGGCAGGAAGCATGACTCAGCAGGAACCATAGGCCCTGAGTTCAGACCCCAGTATTGGGGGGGGGGGAAACACAAACAAACAAACAAACAAACAAAAAAACAGAACCCAATCTAGGGAGAAACTTGCATAGATTTATTCTAGGAAGCAGTAGCAATTGTAGTATTCCTTTACTGAAATTACAAGCTTATGTGCTCACCAGCTAAGGGCAAGAAGGAAGGTATACTTTTCATCTAAAGAAAAATTCCTAGGCAGGGCTGGGAAGGTGGCTCAGTGGTAGAGCGCTTGCCTTGTATGCATGAGGCCTGGGTTTGATTCCTCAGCACCACATAAGCAGAAAAAAAAAGCCGGAAGTGGTGCTGTGGCTCAAGTGGCTGAGGTGAAGAGCTGAGGGTCAGGGCGCAGGCCCATGACTGGACACCCCTGTAGAGCACATGGCCAGCAAAGATGGCGCTGAGAGGGAGTTGAGTGGGCAGAGCCCGATTTGCTTTACAGTGTGTAACCAGCCTGTGGAAGCTTAGGTGCATGATAGGGTGTGACCTTTACAGTGACTGGTTCCTTTTCCTCTCTTGCCATGCCACCTGCTCTTTTTTGCTTTAAAAGGGGCTTGCTCTGTGTTAATAAACGAGTTTTCCTGTTTGACTTGACTCCCCGCTGCGTCTGATTGTCTCCCAGGCTAAGGGAGGCTGAGGAATGACACTTACCTTTCCTCTTGACTCCCCCCACCCCAAGAAAAAAAAATTCTTAGGCAAATTCCTTATTTTGACTTCTCTAGAAGTATCTTTTCCTCCTGTTGTAATCCTACCATCCTGCAATCCTATCAATTTACCAGCTGAGTGAACATGTAGTAAATGCTAAGTCATATTAACTATTTAGTTGCCACTCTCTCACCCCTATTTGGGCATCTACCATTAGCATTACATGATGTGAATGCCAATTGTTTCCTCTCCCTCCCTCCTTCAGTTTTGCTGTACTGCAGTTTGAACTTAGGGACTCAAGTGCTCTATCACTTGAGCTATACCTCCAGTCTCAACATTAATTTTTATACTTCTTAATTAGGCTTTAAAATATTTATTAGAGCTGGGCACTGGTGGCTCACACCTGTAATCTTAGCTGTTTAAGAGGCTGAGATCTGAGGATCACAGCTTAACACCAGCCCGGGCAGCATGAGACTCATCTCCAATTTATCACCAGAAAACAGGAAGTGGTGCTATGGCTCAAGTGGTAGAGCGCTTGCCTTGAGCTGAACAGCTGAGGGACAGCACCCAGGCCTAGAGTTCAAGACCCACGACCGACCAAAAAAAAAAAAATATTATTGAGTTTTCTTTTTTTGGTACCTCTATAAAAGCAGAGCTTCCCTTTCTTCCTCAGCTGGCAATGTACTACTTGAGACATGCTTCTAGTCTACCCTTTTTTTTCTTTTTTTTTTTCTTTTTTTTTTCTGTGAAAATACTGTACAGAGGGGTTACAATTACATGGGTAAGATAATGAGCACATTTCTTATTAAGCATTGTAGCCTCCTCCTTTGTTTCCCCTTCCCATCCCTTTGCATCCTCCCCCCTCCTTCCATCCCCCCCACCAAAGTTGTAAAGTTCGTTTTTTGACATAACATCTAGTCTACCCTTTTTGCAACTTAATTGGGACTTTTCTGCCTGGGCTGCTTCAAACTATCATCCTCAGATCTCAGCCTTCTGAATAGCTAGGTATACAAGGGAAACATCAGTGCCCAGCAATGCAGTTATTTTTCTGCAAGCACTATTGGCTAAGTACTATTCAAAAAGAGCACATGGATTTGGTCAGTAAAAGTAAATTAGAAGGGCAGTTTAGCATTTATCACATTTAAAATAAAATGTAATTGTAGGAATGGGAGTACAGCTCAGTTGTAGACCACTTGCTTACATTCAACTCCTAGCACCAGAAAAAAAGGAAAAAGCAAAAAACCGAAAACTATGGAGTGGGGGAACTATAATTATTATATCTGTCAAGTCCCCCTAAACTAGATTATAAGCATCTTAAGAACTAGAACTTTATTTACCAAAGCTCCTAGTTATCTGTCCCCAGAGCGGGTATCAAAGCTTTTGCTCTACCATTTTCCAGATGATAACAAAGGTTACTTAATCCCTAAGAGCTTGAGTTTTTCTCCATGTACAACGGGAATAATCCTTAATTTATCCAACCCCATGGGATTGTGGTATGGTACAAATAAAAATTTAGATAAAAGTTCTTTATAAAATATTATTGTTATTAAATATTATACTGATCAATTAGTAATTGAAGGGATAAAATATATTTTAGTTACTTAAAAGTCTTTATCAAAGAAGTAAAACTTAACAGTTCTTAAGATGAAGAGAAGGGAAGAGGGAGGAAGAAAGAATGAGAGAGAAAGAGAGCAAAAGGGAGAAAGGAAGGGACAACAAAACATTCTAGGTGAAGGAAAATGATCAGACTATGGAGATTTGATGCCAAAAACATACACTTGAAAGGCTGATGTAGGTATAAGTTGGTTTTTTATTTTTACTTTTAAAAAATTTTCTTTATTGAGATTAAGTGATTACGTGAACTTCACAATATTGTGGGTAAGTGATACTTAGCTAAAGTCACAAATACATTTTAACCTTCACAAGGTGAATTGTCATTATCATGGTCTATAAAGCTTGTGAACTCTACAAACTTTGACAATACAACTATTTCTTCCAAATAGGGTGATATGTACATTTTTTTCCTTTTGCTTAGTGTAAGCTGTTCACTCTGTTTATCTCATTCCCTCCCTCCCATCGCTGCCCTTGAGTTGCTTAGTTCACTTTTATCAATGTGTAGTGCAGCTGATGGATCCTCTGCTGTATTTTGTCACCTGTTTCCCTCATATGTGCACATGTACAGGTCTAAGTATTTCATCAGAAGGAAGGAAAGGACACTGAAGGGCAGTGAGTAAAGAGTTAAGTTTCTAAAGAAAAATTTTCATCAAGAGGCTGAAGTTCAAAACTAGAACTCTAGGAACAATTTGGGAACATACTTCCCTTAAAAAGTTTAAGTACTTAAGGTCTGTATTTCTTGACATAAAATGATACTCATTATATATCATTAAAGTACTTTGGAATTTTATCCCCATAGGCAGAACTAACCATAGTTCTGAAAGTTTTGCTAGAAGACAGTCATTATCAATAATAAGCCTTACAAGTTGCAACTGATAAAAGGATGGATTTGATGCAACCAGCAGTTTTTACCATCAGTTCCTACCAATCAAGGATTTACATTTAACTGGGTAAACTCTCTGAACATAGCTGCCAGATTGTAATCAAGGACTTACGTGTTGCTGGGTAAACTCTCTGAACATAGCTGCCAGACTGTCATCCTCAATATCACAGTCAGTCTTAATAGCCACATTCAGAATGTGAATTGGTTCATCCCTGGGGACCTGTAACCCAAGAACACAAACCAAAGAAATTATAAGGTTGGCTCTACAGAAGCAGCAAGAAACTAAAGTGCCCAGTGGAACAACTGAGAGAGAATATACCTCCACAGAATGTTTTGATTTGGTCATCAGTAGGAATAAGCAAACAGAAACTACTATCTGACAGCAATGGCAGAAATTAAAGAAAGCACATAAAAGGTAGCAAAAGCATTAGCTTGGGTAGCTTCAAATCTTGACTTGACAAAAACTTGAAGATCCCTATATCTCACCTTTTTCACGAATGACATGGAGGTGAAACCACTTTATTCACCTCATCTCTTCACAGAATGTGGAGAAATGAGTAAAAGGAGTCATCTGAAAATATCCTCAAATAATTTATAGTTTATCAAACAACAGAAGTATCAAACCATGGGAAAATAATGTTGTAGAGTAAGAACAGAACATTTTGTTTACTGAGCAATGAAAAGAGATTTAAAAGGACCAAATTTTAAGCAAAATGACCGCTTTTCTGCAGCCTAAAAATCCTCCTTTCTTTGAAGACTATATATAATACAGTATCGTTATGAAAAATAGATGTATGTTACTCACTGATTAAGAACTATAGCAACCAAAACCAAGATTTTTTTCAATGACACTCAGAGGCTACATGGGATAAAATAGCCGAGCCTATTCCCTACACAGAATTCAAGATTAATATGATGTTTTAAAATTTTGAATTTACATTCAACCTATTTCCAAAAATCACTTCAATGAAGCACATGTAGAGAGTAGCATAAAAGGTAAATCTTCTCTATAGTGTTCCAAACTCAGAAAGACAGTATATAGTATAAGCCCCATGTGTGAAGGAACAAAGCAGTTTTCCAAAGCGAACACTGTACCTTGTCTTCGTCATATAGAGATGTATGACCTGCCTCTGGGAATGTGGGACTTTGAGGTGGGGAGTCACAGAAGCAGCCCATCACTTCATCAAAGATCCTGAAAAATACCAGAGAAATACCCACCATGAAAACCCAAGTGGCAGAAAACCTAAGTGGCAGGAAACTAATGCTGCCACTGGCATCTCAGTCTGAAAGAATAATCTATCCTACCCTATGCTCACTAGCTGAACAGAATCACCAGTGGCTAGAGACAAAATGCAAAATTTCATCAAGTGGTAGAAATTAGAAGGATGGATTGTTTAAACTCTAATAAACCATATTTTTTTTCTTTTTAAAAAAGAACAATCTAATGGCTTTTGTTTTTCATATGTAAGATATGAGCACTGCTGTCATCAATCGGTCTAAAAGGAACAGCAAGAACCTGGGATCAGAGCAGTGACAGACCAATGTAATTACCCCTCCCCCTAGGGTAATGCATCAGTATACATCAACAGATAGATGCTGAATTCATTTAATCAAAAGATGTATCGTCTCTAGTGGGGCTCACTCTAGTGTTGTGTTTAATTTCTCCTGACATTTCACTCATCACAGAGCAGACAGCTTCTTCTGTTAGCTCCTAAGGAAAAGATGATTTCTGTTTGTTTCTTTTCTTTTCCTTTTCCCTGACCAGGTTCAAACCTACAAGCAGAGACTTAGAGAGTCTGAATGAGAGGTGGAAATGGAAAGATAAACACTTCTCTGAGGGCATACATAGTGAGGGCTATGTCTCAGATGGATTGTAGCCATGCTGAGATCCTTTGCTCTTTAAAAAAGGAAACAAAACAACAACAAAAAAAAAACCCTCAAAACAGAGAAGTTCATGACTTTCCTAGAACAAACACAGGTCCATAATATCTTACCTGACAAAATCTTCAAAAGTCCGAAAAGAGACCATTCCTCCCATCCGTTGACATGGTGGAGTGAAAGAATTGTCCAACAGCACATCACTGACACTAGCCACATGTGTCATGCCATAGTGGTTGAGGTTGGAGGAGAAGGACATTCTAAATGGTAATTCAATCATGTGTATTAGACAAGGAGGGAAGGATTAGGAGAATAACAACAGGAAAAAGAGAAAACTCTAAAATAAGGTTAGGTTGCAGAGCAGATCTGGTTTTTCACCCCCTATGATTAAAGCTGTTTTGCCAGATTAATGTTTCACTTGACTTTCTCCATAAACCTGTATTTTCATCACTCTAAAACGTCTTCAGATAGAAATCTAAAAACTGTCAAGAATTTCATGGTAGTCTTAATACAGTGATAATATGGCATTTGTAGCGAATGAATAGTACATAGAGGGTTAAAAACCATCCTGCACCATCCCCTTCCCCAAAACATTCCTTCCTTTACAAAGAAATATGCAAGCCAAGAGAGTTGTAGTTATGTCACACGCAAAGCATTTTTTATTTGGGAAGTACAATAAATTATGTATTCACTGATATAGAGATAGGTAGATTTATTAGAAAAGAATTTCTTAGTAGCTTATTATAAAAATTATTACTTATAGAACAAAAACAAGTCACAGTCCTACAAAGGAAGTTTACTGAGGTATTTATATTAGGATTATAGTTCTCCCCTTTTGAAAGAGTTTTCAACCTCAGGTCACAAAATTTCCTTTTATTTTCAAAACTTCTATACCAGAGCAAAAATATCTTCATTGAAAACCTGTAATAATTTCCAGCAAGATACAAAAGGCAGAGCATAGGTCTCAAAGTATGTGTAAACATGACAAATAGCAGCTCAATGGAAATGCTTGAAGAGAATTGAACTGATTTGTTCAATCTAAAATCATAATGAATCAGAATATTCCTTGATGCACCTCAGCAACATGTACAGATAATACTATAAAGTGTTTCTGAATGTCCAATCAAGACAATCTATTAAGAAGGACCAAACTAAATGATCCCTCTAGGACTTGCCTGACATGTTACTGGCATACTGATCTGAAACAACTTCAGAGCGTGGCAATGGCACCTACGCTTTGGGGAACTGTCCAAAAATCTCCTTACAGTACACTGCCTGCAGTGTGTCAGTAGGAGGAGAGATGGCAATGTGAACTTAAGATCTGGGTATCTATTGCACCCCACTGCAAATCATACTTACAAAAAGCAATGAAATGCTTTATAGGATGGGAATGCTGCTCACACAGACTATAGAGACTGACACTCCTGGTTTTTATTCCTTTCTTAGGTGATGACTATAGAAAAAGTACTTTATCTTTTGACAGTTCTAGGAAATAGAAAGGCAGAGTGGGGTAGAGGAAACCACTGATACCATGAGTGAAACAAACAAATGAACCACACATCAAGCAAGTCTCATACATGATGCCCACTAGAAACAGATTCTGAGCTGTATTAACTCAGAAATGCTATTGTCCCTCTTTCTAGGAGCACCAAATGTATTTACTATTGAAGCAAGTTTGTGAGGTATTCTTTTCTACCTGCCTCACATTAGACAGGAAATATTAAAAGGGTTACAAGCAACATTTAAAAGAAACTCCCTGTGAATGAGATAACTGGCTATGTTTGTGGCAAACATGGGGTTAAATATCTTTTTCACTTGACTAAACCCCATGGGAAATATATACACTATTCAGTTTCATTACACTACTATGCTCATGGCCAGAGAAGCTGAAGGCAGGCAGGAATGAACCAAGTCCACTCTCGAAGGGAAGACTAGAAGACTCTATAAAAGCAGTCTCTTCTGCACATCTAAACTAGGTTCTAAAGGATAAGATCAGTTTTGATTACTAAATATTTTAAAAGGAGAAAGACAAAATAAAGGTAAGCCTGTAAATATTTCAACATGAAACATTATATACAAAGAGCTTGCCACCAACTTATCTCTGCTTTAGCATTTTGTGGAATTAATTCCAAACAGAATTGCTATCCTCTCAAACTTGCTCTGTTACCTTGCTTGGCTCAAGAGGCAAGAAGAACTTAAAATATGTACGAAACTATCACTTTTGTTACACTGGCCTAGAAACTTCTTCATAAAGCTAAAGATATCAAAATTTAAATATACCTTTCCAATGTTATAGGTTTAAATTAAAAATTGACTTTCAAGTCATTGTAATACTTTTAACACTTTAGTAAAATAGCTATTTCTGGATTTGCTAAGGAAAAACGAATTAGAGAAACTAAAAATTGAAAACAAAATGTAAATAGGCTACAAGTGACCTTAACGGTCTCTCCTCTGAAAGCCCCAAACTAGATAGAAAACTTAGCAAAAGGTATTTCTAATAAAGTTGAACATCAGACAGATGAAGTCCCTATCATACACAGCTGAATGGAAGCTTTTCCAAGCTGATGCTTCTTAAATTATTATTTTTTGAACAGCTAAAGACAGGTTTTTCAAGTAGAAAAAGGAATTTAGTATTGCTGAGGGGGATCTCAGAATTCCCTAGCAAATCATAACACATAAACTTATCAAGTGAAGTTTTTTTTTCCGATTTCACTATTACTACTTTATTTATAAAGGTGCTTTAAATTGGAAAAGAAACTAAGTATACGGTACCTGTTTAGCGTGGGGATGTTCCCTCTGTAATTAAATAACCACAGTTAGTTACTGATAGGTTAGTGAAAGCCATCATAAAAGAATTGTCAGAACAGATACACTCCAGTCAGTCATAAGGAGCTCCAGTTTGGCAGCTCTGGTATTCAGCAGACATAATTAAGTGCTCATTACCCTTCAAACCCCAGGATGCCTCCAAAGAGGAATGCCTCCTGACCTACCTCACCACAGCAGCTGTTAAGGGTCCAAATGTATTTACCATACATTGTTACAAAATAATTCTACCAAAAAAAAAAAAAAAAGGTAATGCATAGCAGTGGTAAAACACAGACTAATAAAAATTAACTCAAGCTGTATATGGTGTATCATCTTAAGCTACAACATGAAATAAGCCATGACAACACTTACTTCTTGTTCCTATTATTAGAAGTATAATAGGGAGACAGATTCCATAGCTTTCTATCGTAATTTCTTTTTAATGATATATAGTTGACCTACAAATTATCCTCCCAAGAATCTAGTGATCTAAGTTTGCTAAGTTTTAGCTAGCCATGCCCTTTCTCCTGAGGGGAGACTAGAGGATACTCTACCACAGGAATTGAAAGGAACTGAAAAACATGCAGGGAAGTAAGGATGAATGATTTTACCATCCCAGTGGTATCTTTGGTTATAATTAATACTTTTTTTTTTCTGCTTATGTGGTGCTGAGGAATCGAACCCAGGGCCTCAGGCATGCAAGGCAAGCGCTCTACCACTGAGCCACCTTCCCAGCCCCATAATTAATACTTTTTAATTAAATGGTTTAGGGTAACAATTATTTTTAAAGTTACTTTTAGCTTTAAAACTCTTGGCCTATAGGCCTCTAAAAAATAAAATCTTACCTAAATTTGGCTAGCCCTAGGACTTCCTTATAAAGAACAAGCCAAAGACTAGGATATCATAGGAAATAAGGCAAAGTTCTTGCACTTTCTTTGATTTTTGCCACTATTTCATAAAATTTTCTCCAACTTAAAAAAATAACCAAGAATCAAATTTTAAAACCTTTATTTTTAATCTTAAAAGGGCAAAATGATACTTATCACCCACAATTTAGGGGTTTTGTAAAGGGTCCGGTTGGTTGATATCTTAACCTTCTTATATTCTTTTTATCAGCATTTAATCATTGTTGGGGTTTTCTGGCACAGAGAGACTTAATGGGCAGAACATAGTGGGTGGTGCTGATGATATGTGGGAAGGAGGATTGAGGGAGGAAAATGATGCACTTTCCATGGCAGTGAAAGGAGCAGAATAGACTGAGCTAGCCATATAAATAAAAAGCTGTGACATATCACTGCACACAAACTGTATACCTCGTATGATTTGTGAGCAGTGAGGCTCTTTGCATCAAACCTGTATCACAGAGTGAACTCATAAGCAGCAGGAACAAACACCAAGTGCAAAGCTCTAAACCTTTGCTGTCCGGATTCCTGAGTCTCTCATTCAGGAGAATGGGTTTTATAAGAGATCCTTGGTTCTAATGCATTTATCTCTCATGAATAAACAAAAAGTGTACATGGATTCTAGAGCAGATGCAAGTACAGCTGAATAGAAAACTAACTACAGCTGGTAATAAGATTATAGAAAAGCCTTCTTTTACAATGTAAAATATTCTAATAAATGAGGCCACCTGCCCTGTCTCTTACCATGAACCTCAGTGCAGAGAGGACTTTCAACCAAAGAAATCTCAGGCTCCATTCATCCAGGTTTCTAGTATTTAGAAACCAGTACAATCTCTCAACTATTAACCAATCTCTTAAGCAATTAAAAAGGTCTTTCTGCTTCTGTAGTTATACTCTGATTCCACAGGGAGTCTTCATAGGATGAAGACCAAGATTTAGGGGGAAAATGGCCACACACACACACACAACCACTGACAACAAAAGCTGGCCCTTCTTCATCAGCAATTCTCAAGTTCTCATAGGGAGCCCCCTGCTGCTTTGTTATAGAAATTATGCACTACCTACTCAGTATGGGGTAAAAAACCAGAAACTCCCAACATTTCCAATTATTATTAAAGGAATGGTCCTAAATCAGTCAAGTAAGAAGTAAGTTTAGAGCTAGCCATCCTCTTTGGTAGAATAAGAGCTTGTGAGGTTACAGAAGAAATTAACAGGAAAGGAAGGATATATTAGTTATTAACAGGTAAATGCTTAGCTGTGTCCATATGGTCATTTATATATTGTGTTATCCTATACTCCTTAGGAATATGAAAAATTGGGCCTACTGCACAATATTGCAAGATAACAGAAAGCTAGATCTATGACCTGTGCAAAAATAAGAAAGATATTACCTACAGGTCAAATATCCCATTTATGCAGCTAAAAATAAAATGAAATAAAACCTAAAATAGTTCACTGCATACTCATCATGCAAAAAGTTAAAACTGGTCAATCTCTAATAAGGCAAATCAACTATATTTTTAAATATATAAATGAGATATTAAACTGCTATTTGAACTATTCAAAGTACTTATTACAATAAATCTTCATTCACAATGATACTTATCAGAACCACTGTCCTTTTAGTAAATTAGCTCCATTTTACAGATAAAATAACTGAGAAGCCAAAATGGATGCTTTCCAGAGACACTGTTCAATATGGTTGCCATAAAACAAGATCTATACTTGGCACTTTCTCATCTCTGCTCCCTAAACTAGCATTTCACATCAATATAGACTTTAAAAAAGGACAAGAGAAAATCCTTTGAATTCTGAGGTTCTTGGCATTAAGTCACCTCTGATTTTATTGATCTGCCTGCCCAGAATAGCTGAAGAGCTTGCTTCAATATGAATGCAAAGTCAGAGTTGCTGCCTGCTATCTGAACCCTCTTTAAGAAACACTGACTTCTCTGGCAGTCACAAGTTCTCTGAGCCTTTTTACCTTCCCTTCCAGCTGAATTTCGTTTTGCTTGATTCTAGATGTCCCTGTATAAATCTTTTTATCATATAAAAATGCTCATGATGCTTTTGCCTTCTTACTAAAAGAAAACAAACAGAACCCCCAATCCGTATAAAAATGATGGGGATGCATGCAAACAAGCAGTGGTTGCATCAAGCTGTGACTGAGAGCCAGTATAGGGCAAATCTTTTGAAATCAGGCAGCAAAGCAGAATCATAAGAGGTCAGCTGAATAACCTACTAGCAGTCACTAACAACAGTACCATAGGAGAAAGAGCAATTTGACTGGCTGTGACCAGTGGTGGTCTCCTTGTGTGACTATATTTCTGCAGGAGAATCCAAATCAAGAGCTATAAAGCCCTTCTGAACCATGTATTTCTATTGGCATCTCCCCACCCCCACTTGCAACACTTCCTTGCAGTTCAGATGCCCTGATTCCACTGCAAAGGTTTAGTTTACAATAAAATGAGCATTGCTTTATTCATTTGCAGCCCCTCCAAAGCCCCTTCTTTGCTCTGTTGGAAGATTTTGCTCTATCTGAAACAAGTACACCAACAGGGCTACAGTACATTACCGTTGCCTGCTGTATAATTAGCTACAAACCCACAGCACAAAACTACAGGGATTTGCAGGTGCCCTGGATTCTGCTTTTCCTTCCCTCTGGAATCAGACAGTCTTCCTTGACAAGAAGGGACCTTGGGCTCCCCTAATGATATATTGAGAGTTTTAAACTCAACTCTCCAATCTTAAAGTCTAGAGTGCCAAAATAACACAGCAGAGACTAGAAGCTGAGCCATGGATACAGGAAAGCACTTTGGTAAGCACTTAACCCTGCTGAGAATCTTCTCCTCTGCCAGATGCTTGCATCTTATCAGCAACTACCCCAAATGAAGAAAGCGAGCATTGTGGGATTTTATTTATTTATAGCTCATTCTGGCCTGCTAACTATAACCAAATACTCCCACTGCTAAAAATGCTACAAGTCGGATGACTTTTAACTGTCTCAGTATAGGTTCTAATCTCTGGATGTCCAAGACTATCAGAGTTCTCAAGAATGGTAGCAAACTGCTGATTAGCCACATGAAAAGCATCTGATTTCCAACCATCTTCACAAATAAAAAGGTAGTCCAGAGATTACCCATGGATAGCTGAATACTGAAGGTGCCAACCAGCCTAAATCATGACCAAAACAACCTCCTGTGGGTGTAAAAGATAAGCAAAGTAAAATACTTAAATTAAAACATCCTAAAACAGAAAGTTAAATTCACATGAAGAAACAAAACAGCCCAAAAGGTACATACACTATCACCCAACTTAACTAGAGTATGGATTTCCATCCAAAAAACTAGGGGGAAATAAATGCCAATAGGTCCTCAGTTATATGCTCAGGAATATACAATAGAGTATATTCCATCTTCTGAATAAGTTCTGATACTTATTTGAATCACAGATTAAGTTTTTTAAATACTCATATTCACTAGTATGCACTATGCATAAAAATCATTTGGAATTTAAAATATTGTATTTCCAGACTGTCAGAATATACAGAACCATACACATACCCATAAAGTTTAAAGGATAACATACTTCACATGTTTGTATAACTATAGGTATATTTTAGAATATTAACTACATAGGTTGACCGAAGAACTTGTTTCCAGATTATTCTGAATGATTTAGAATGCCCAAATGAAAATAAAATACTGAATACCAAATGATTCAATAGACTGTCAAAAATAAAAACATTATAAGCTAGGTGCCAGTGGCTCCTAGCTATTCAGGAGGCTGAGATCTGAGGATCACAAGTGTGAAGCCAGCCTGGGCAGGAAAGTCCATGAGACTCATATCTAATTAACCACCAAAAAGCCAGAAATGGAGCTGTGGCTCAAAGTGGTAGAGTACTAACTTTGAGAGAAAAAGCCAAGCAAGCATCAGAGGCCTTGAGTTCAAGCTCCAGTCCTGGCACAAAAAAATAAACTCAGGGCCCAGGCCCTGAGTTCAAACTCCTCCAACAACAAAACAAACAAACAAAACAAACATAAAGCATTAGAGTAGGGTACTGGTAGATCCTGGCTACTTAGGAAGCTCAAATCTGAGAATTGTGGTTAAAAGGCAGACCAGGCAGATAAATCTTATCTCCAATTAACCAACATAAAGCTGGAAGTGGAGCTACAGCTCAAGTAGTAGAGTATCAGCCATGAGCCAACCAAGAGTAAGAGGCCCTTAGTTCAAGCTCCAGTCCTGGAACTAAAAAAAAAACATTAGCCGGGTGCTGGTGGCTCACATCTGTAATCCTAGCTACTAAGGAGGCTGAGAGCTGAGGATCACGGTTCAAAGTCGGCCCAGGCAAGTAAGTCTGTGAGATTTTTGTCTCTAATTAGTCACAGAAAACTGGAAGTGGAGCTGTGGTGCTAAGTGGTAGAGTGCTAGCCTTGAGCAAAGGAGCTCAGGAACAGCACCCAGGCCCTGAGTTCAAGCTTCATGACCAACAATAAAATAAAATAAATGTAACAAGGTTTTGTATTTCCAGCACCAGTGAGTAATAATAGGTTTCAGAAGGGAGGTGGGAAGAAGACAGACATAGACACTCTGACTCTATACCCTGAGCTTCATTAAAAGAACAAACAAGGGTGGGAATGTGGCTTAGTGGTAGAGTGCTTGTCTATGTGCATGAAAGCCTGGTTTCAATTCCTCAGCACCACATAAACAACAACAACAAAAAAGCTGGAAGTGTGCCTCAAGTGGTAGAGTACTATAGCCTTGAGCAAAAGAAGCTCAGGAATAGTTCCCAGGCCCTGAGTTCAAGACCCAGGTCTGGCAATAAAAAAGAACAAAGGAATGCTAAATGATATAGCCTGAGCTACAGGATTATTCAAAATAAAACACTAGTTGATCTCACTACAGAGCTGAACACATAGACTCTTAAACAAGAAAATTAGGTCCTAGAAGCAGACAAGCTTTCCTGCCTATTCCTGCACTAAAAAAATGACTAAAGAAACTCATATACAAGTGATATTGGCTGTAAGTCATCTTTAAAAACTGACACCTTTAAAAATAAATTCCTCTCACCTCCAAAACAAAAATCATGTACAATATCAAGTGACCTTTAAATACTAAGAGAGTTTTGGAAAAATGCACACACATACAAATGTGTTATATATGTTTCTAATTACTGTCCATCTATGATTCAAGAGAAGGAAATTTAAGAAGAAAAGGTATAAAATTTACTCTGAATTTCAAGGACTTAGTATCATTACAAGAATAAAAAATACTTCACTGAAAATTTTATTATATAAAAACTGGTATTTTAGATATACTAAGTTAAATAAAATTCTACCTTTTTAAAACCATTTTTAAGGTAGCCAATATGAAATTTTAAATTACATATATAGCTTTCATTAAATTTCTACTGGACTGTTACTGGTTGAGAAGTAGTGATTCTCAATTATAGATATTCACCAAAATTATCAGACAATCTTTAACCAAAATAAATGGCACTAGACTCTAACCCAAAATGAATCAGGTTTTTGAAAAAAAGGATCTTAACATGTACATTTTCAAAATATTACTTAATTTTGAAAATCATTAAAATACAAGAGAATAAAAAAAAACACTGGAGCTAGGGGGAGAAATAGTAGTTAAACCTTCTTTTAATGTAAGCAGGTTTATTACATAATAAGGAATTTGGCCATTGTCCCTGATTTCTAGGAGAGATACTCTACATCCGAGTTTATGCTAAAAGATAGAATGACTACACATCAGAGTTTATGCTAAGAGATGGAATGAGCAGAATGGTAGCTGCTTACTAGAAAGACCAACTATGTGACTAGAGGAGACTTTTGAGGTAGCCTGACCTTTGGGAGGGGAGATTGAGTATAATCATATAGCCCATGATTTAATCAATCATGTCTATGAAATAAAAACCAGACAAAAATACTGACATTGTAGCTCCATAGAATTTCTTGTTAGGTAAACACATCGATATGCTGAGAAGGTAGTATACCCTAATTACACAGAGAAAGAGAAGGAAGCTTTGTTTGAAGTTTTCTCAGCCTTCCTCCATGTATGTCTTAATCTGGCTGGTTCTGATCTATATTCTTTATAATAAAACGTGAATAAAGCCATGTGGTGGCACATGCCTATAACCTCAGCACTAGGGAATTAGAGATAGGAAGATCATGAATTGGAAACCAGGCTGAACTACAAAAAAAGTTAATAAAACTGTAAATGAAATTACAGTGTTTTGGTTCTGTGGAATTACTACACCAAGAGGATTGTAGGAACCACTAACTTTCTATCAAACGGTCAAAATGCAAAGGACCTGGAATTCCATCTGAAGCAGGGGAAGTTTAATGGAAGGATGAACCCTTAACTTCCTGCTCTGGTTCTGTCTAGGCTGAGATTTGCCTGTTTTAGGCTTCCCATAATAGCTAGGGTAACAGGCACGTTCCATTACAGTTACCACTCAGTTAAGAAGTGGATCTCATGGACTTTTCTGCCCAGGTTGGTCTGGAACTGGAGCCTCCCAAGCAGCTAAGATAATAGGCATAAGGTGTAAGTGCCTGACTTTGACAAAATTACTTTATCTTTCCGCCTTATTTCACAAATTTCTTCAACTTTACACCTATTTCAATAATAACAATAATCATATTCCATACAATCAAAGAAGATGTTAGGGACTATAGCTCGCAGTTCTATTTAGGACTAATCTTTATCCACAGCAGTGTGGAAACCTCAGATGTCAGAAGATACAGACATATGTTTTTAAAACAAGGTTCATATCCTTGAGGTAGAAAGGTGAATAAGATTTCTTAACAAAGCAGTTAAGAATTCCCTCATTTTCAAGTCAACTTTCTTCACCAAACTGAACACGGGCTCAAATAAAAAAATAAGACAAGGAAAGCAATTCAGAAAGACAAGAGAAGCAATGAGAAGGGAAGGAAATCAGAGTTGGCCCTGTAGGCTGACTACAAATCACTGCCCAAAGGAAAGAGGTACTGGAAAGCAGGAAGAAAAGGAGATTGTCTTGAGAATTACAAGAGCATTAAGTATAGCATGTAGTTCTCTACAATTATTCAAGGAATGCAGGAAAAAAAAGAAGACCAAGTGCTGAGCCCATGTGTGCCATGAGTACCTCGCTGCTCACTGAAGAACAACCATTCGTTTCTAGAAAATGAGATTCTGAAATCCATGGAGGCAAAAACGTACCAAGAGATGCTTGCTAAATCAAGGATATATGCTTTTCTCTGTCAGCCATAAGGCATTTTTGAGGTAGAGAAGTGAAAGGATCTTCTGAGACAAAGAAGAGAGGTACTTTTTCCAAAGATGCCTCTGCTCATCTGCCTACCTCTGCTGGATCAACAGTGGCATCCAGTGGCCAAAAATCTAAGCACAGATTTCTTTGTCTCCAGAAAGATTCTATGGCTTTGGGTGAAGTGGCAATTCAGAACAAAACCATTTCTGGTGTCTATAACTAAGATCCCCAAAGACATAGTACTCTGTAATGCCAAGCAAAGAAGTAAGGGCCATAAAGAAGAAATGGAGAAGGGCAGGTTAAGATTGGCTGTGGTATTTATATTTCCTGTGGTATTACTAAAAAGAATGAAAATACAGGAGGAGAACATAAGTGTGAGTAGAATTCTTAAGATTTTTCACTGCTTCAGAATGTTTTTTTAATGAGTATGTAAGATAAATATTTTCACTTTAAAATCAAAGCAATACTGAAACAAATATTTGTATGTATATTTTAAGGACTTAGGAAGGGAAGAATAATACATTGTCATGGCCAACTAGTAATTTACCTGAATTTAAGAAGTTTGGCTCTGAAATGTGACTTTAAAAAAATGGATTAAATTTCAACCAAATTCAGCTGTTTTTAGAGAATGAAACTAGCTCAGGTAACTCAACTCATAGCAAGCATATAAATAAGCAAAGCATTTGTTTCAACTGCTGACTTAAACTGTCTGTTTTACTTTTTTTATTGTTCTACTAGCAGAGTTCTAACAAGAAGGAAAAAAGAAGGGACAGAAGAGAAGGAAAGAAGAAATCCTGTTTTTTCAGTGATATAACCAAGCAAGAATGAATGGAACTGAAGGACAGGAAAGTGGGTAGCCTTATGAGGTGAGGATAAACATAATCAAAGCCCTTTGGTTGCATTTATGAAAACAGAACAATGAAACTTAGTGAAACAAATGGTCAGTGAAATAGGTGAAAATGATAGAAAGGATGTGAATGAAGACACATTGTATGAATGCGTTCATGGAAATGTTACAACTGAACCCCACATACATTTTGAAGATGGGGGAAAAGAGTGTTTTCAGTGTAAATGAACATCGCAATAGTCTGTTGCAAGTTCTTCTGGGTTACTTTTATTTGTACAACTTATACAACTAATGTAGGCTAACAAAAGAAAAAGGGTGACTATAACCAAAATGCTTTATATGTAGGTATAAAAATATCAGAATGAAATCTGCTGTGTATAATTAATATATGCTAAAAAAGAAGAAAGAAAATAAAAAGTAATTCTCCACTTTTATTTTATCTTTCTTTTGTGTGTGTGGGGGGGGCGGGGAAAGGGGGCAAGTGTACAGATCTAATTTCGCTGTGGAACTAAGGCTGGCCTCAAACTCACAATCCTTCTGCTTCAGCTTCTTGAATACAGAACTTACAAGTATGTAAGTGTGGCTAGACCACACTGTATCTTCAAATCAAAGACATGGACACTAAGAAACATTTCTCTTAGGGTTCAAATCTGTTCTTTTTTTTTTTGCTCTGCATTTATAGCAAAAAAACAAACAAACAGAAAAAAAAAACCTCCCATGTACTTGTCATATGCATTATTTCCCTTAACTTTCTTGATAAGCTTGATTTGCTCAGGTACACCTAACATTTCAAACTCACCTGTTTGGATGAGATGTAGGTAGCATGAACTGAAATTCCACCACGCAGGTGTTGTCCTTAAGCTGGCGGTGTTGTACGCTGTTAAGTTCATAGGCAATATAAGCTCTTCGAACATACACCTGATTAAAAAGTATCATTAGTGAATAAAACTCCAAAAAAACAAAAATGAAGAAAATGTCTAGATCAGGAAAAAAGATACTATTGTTTGTAAAAGTGTCTGATACAGGAGATGGTAGTCTGAAGTGAGAGAGAACCCAAGGAGATACAGACACACACACACAGACACACAGACACACACACACACACACACACACACACACACTCTTTTGCTTTAATAAGGTTGGAGTCTTTATATAAGTGAATATTATATAAATGGAAATAAATAAAGGTAGGCTATCTCTGCTGGACATCACTACTAAGTACATGGTAAACCTTTCACACTAATCTAAACTCTAGAAGATTTTATCTTCAGCAAAAAGTGAGCATAAAGCACCATGACTGTTAACTCAGTAAACATGGTCACTTCAACAGAAGATAAAAGCAAGCACTGAATGTAGAAAATGAACTTTACAACTTGGAGTGGGGGGGGGGAGGTGGGGAGGGAAGAGACATTGGGAAAAAACAAAGGAGGAGGTAACAATGCTCAATAGGAAATATACACATTAACTTACTCATGTAACTGTAACCCCTTTGTACACTATTTTTACAATTTAAAAAAAAAAAAGCAAGCAAGCACTGAGGAAAATGGGAAGTACTAATCCTAGGCTACCTAAGGAAAAAAGACAGAAGACAGAACATAGTTTTCTTGTTGTTATTGGTGGTGGTATTTGAGTTTGTGGGGTTTTTTTCTTTTTTTGGGGGGGGGGCAATGGGGAGTGCTGAAAGGGAGGGAAGAAGGGTGAACAAATGCAATCATACTATTTAGTATACAATATATGGAAAATGGCCTATGTAACTTATAAGCAGGGATGTAAGGGGAAAACCTGGAGAAAGTAAAGGAAGCAGTGACATGGTCCAAAAAAAGCAATGTACTTATTACCTGATTTATGAAATAGTAACCCCTCTGTATAACGCCTAATAACAATAAAATTATATACTTTTTAATATTTTTATTGTAAAGATTCTGTACAGAGGGGTTACAGTTACCAGAGTACGGTAATGAGTATATTATTTCCTATCAAGTATTGCTACCTCCTCCTTTGTTTTTCCCCTACCATCCCTTCCTTCTCCACCTCCCCAACTCCTCCCCACCCCTAAGTTGTAAAGTTCATTTTCAACATAGTGTCTTGTACTTTTCATTGCTACAATGGGTCAATCTGTACCCTTGTTTCAGCATTTTTTGTTGTTGTTGGTTGTGGGTCTTGAACTCTGGGACCTTGGCACTGTCCCTGAGCTCTTCAGCTCAAGGCAAGCACTCCATCCTTGAGCCACAGTGCCACTTCCAGTTTTCTGGTGGGTAACTGGAGATAAGAGTCTCATGCACGTTCCTGCCCCGGCTGGCTTTGAACCGCCATCTTCAGATCTCAGCCTCCTGAGTAGCTAATTATAGGCATGAGCCACCAGCGCTGACTTAAAAAAGATAGAAGATGGAAGCAATCACAGAACAATTCAACTCTTTTAATATCTTGAATCTTTATGTTTTTCTCACCCTGTTGCCCCAAATCAATTTTGAATTTAGAATTCAAATTCTAAGCAAAAGTAGTCAAGCATAATTTGACATATAGTATTTCAAACATAGTAACATGAGTCAAGAATTGAAGAGATAGCAACAGACTACAAAAACATCAGTACACTCTTAGGCTCTTCACATTCAACTTGCCTTGCACATAAAATGGTACATGGATTCTGTCACAACATGAGGTACCATGTCTCATTAAATGACATGAAAGCCCTAAGAAACACCTAGATATTTCAAGTATTTGATATTTACTCAACAGGATAGTTTATATTTTACTCATAGAATACAAATAAAAGTAACTCAGAAGAACTCCCAACAGACTATGGTGATGTTCAATTACACTGAAAACACTCTTTTCTCCCATCTTCAAAATGTATATAATTGGCGATATTCAGGGACCCAAATGTTATGATTAATGAGGTAGTATGATGCAATGAAACAGAAAATGTCTCCAGATTCAGACCAAACCGAGTTCAAATGCAAACTCCTCTACTTAATATCTATGTGATTTCTAGACCAGTCACTTAACCTCTCGTCACACTTTCTTTTTACCTCATGAAGTAACTGTAGGATTAAATGAAAAAAAAAAAGAATCTAAACCATAATTCATCAAATACTACTACTTTATTTCCTAAGAGGCGATATTTTATGAGCTGCTGGACAATTCAGACTATACCCAAAATCCAATTTTAATTTGGCCCAAATCACAAGATGGCAAAGTTACACATTTGGATCAGCCACATGCTTTCCACTTATAATGTTAAAATTAATTCTAACTCATTATGAATAGAAGAAGTCAAATACTTGGAAAGTAGAAAAATGTTGGCAGCTATTATCCTGTGATTATAATCCAGAAGCTAGCAAATTGTGTCAGTGAAACATCTGAAGGAGGCACTTAAGGAAACATTAACTGAGGAGAAGACTACCCATTGGAAGCAACTTTAAGGCCAAAAAAAAAAAAAAACACTGGCATGATACGCAAATATAAAAAGGATATGAACACCCACCTCCAAAGCTGCCATCCTCACAACTTGGTTGCTATGATAGAAGAAGTTCGGTAGAACATCAAAAATTGATGTTTCAGATAGGATGAGTTTCTGCAAAGTACAATAACAGGCTTAAACTATTACATCCAAAAAAAGAACAATTTCAATAAGTGGCATTTGAGACATTTAGCCAAACCTAAGGATTCTGTCTTGGAATGTTGTGTATCAGAATAATCTCTCTGTGCCTGTTTTCTCAGCTACCAAATGGGGAAAATACCTACTTCACAGGGCTGTTGTAAAGATTATATGAGTTATAAGCATAAAATTCGTATAATTGTATAATAAAATGTACTAATTTTATGCTGGTAATTGTATGCCTTTCTGGCATACATTTGTACTTCACTTCCTAAATACTGAATCAGTACTTCCTGGCCACAAGGTATATCCTAGATTTGAACCCTACTGAAAACCCTAGATTTCAACTAAGACAACATATCCTCTTTCCCAAAAGAAAATCAGAAATTCTGAAGAGTCATACTGGACAAGTATCCTGGTTTCCCAGGTAAAAAATAGAAAGGCACCCCTGAGAAACTGATATTTAAAGAAAATTTAGTTTAGGCCCTTCCAATCAGTTGTAAAATTAGCTAATATTCTCTTAGAAAATTGGCTTTTTTATAAAGCTTAATAATAAGCATTAAAATTAAATTAAATTATATTTAAATAGCTTTGTCTCCAAAAGAGTAACAACCATCTACATATGCATCTTATTCAACTATATGAAATCAAACAATGTTACCACTTAATTCTGGTCCAGAATGCTTTCTACGTAAAATCACAAGAGGTAAAGACTTTAATAGGCACTTCTATCAAGGCAATTCTATAGGATCTGTAAGTGAAGCTACAGTTAATAGCATTTGAGTGAAAAATTTTTTGTTAGTATATATCATTTTATAAAGATATGAAATTTATTACAAGGAAATCAAAATTAATTGATTGATGATTTAATTGAACATGCTTATGGGAATAAAGGAAACAAGAGTGCACAATGGTAAAAAAGGGCTATATTATATACCTGCAGGTTCTCAATGCAAAACTGATGTCCATACATGTCAATTGCTGATAGGAAGATAGACTCTACTTGGTTATGGCGAAGCTCATATGATGGCAAATGGGAGGCAATAAGAACCTAGAGTGAGAGCAAAATAAGAGGCATAAGTTCCTCAGGGAGTGATTATTCTAGACTCCTATTAGGCAGCTCTGATACAAAAGCAATAAATATAAATCTGTAAGTGCAGGCATCAAAGATAAAACAGAGTCCAAGTAAAACAACTTCTAGGTCCTGTAGCATAAAGTCAATGCCACCAAATACTGAATCTCAGTTGACTCTCACCATGATTTGCGTTGTGGGCAATTTCCCATGGGGGTTGGGGGAAGGGAGCAAAAACAGCTTCAATCAAGTTCCATCAGTGCATGTGATTTACCACTGCAAAGCTGCTAGTCCTGGGGACTGCATGACTAGCTGTTAATTGGGAATCAGGTCTGGCAGGGAGCAGCTGGGAGGAAGGTGGATGCATCATAGCTAGCCTTTTGCAACTCTGAAGTTAGAAGAAAGACTAGGAAAAGCTGCTTTGACAGCCCTGGTACTCAGTCCCAAGGAGAAGGAGTCATAAAGTAACACCAATGCATGTGAGGGACAGAGCAAGTGAAAGCAGTCTCACAAACAAACAGGGACACAGTAGGACCTGAATATCCTCAGCAGGTCACTGAGAGGTTCAATAACTTTGAGTAGTTCAGTGACATGGATACAATTGTGGAGAAAGCAGAAGGTCACTGAACAGCTTCAAATAAGGCTTCCTTGTCAATGCCCATACACTGAGACACAAAGGGAGCACCAAGTCTCTGCTTCCCTGCTGAAATCTTTTGGAATGGAAATGAAGACTATGGGGTGAAACTAACCCGACGTCTCTGGGTTGTCCTGATTGCTAGTGCCTAAGATTCACTTCATTATCTTTCTGCTTTCTACACTTGATTATTTCCTATACACTTACAAGTCCTTCACCTGCTTCTAAATTCCCTTTGGGAACAAAGAAATAGTGAATTGATTACCTTCTCTCGGTTTACTTTCCTCCACCTAACCCTGGTTTACTATCATAGGGCTACTAAGGAGGGTGGAAAAAATATCAGCAATTTTTTCCCCTAGAGCTGAGGACTGAACTCAGAACCTTGCACTTGCCAGGCAAGTACTCTTCTACTGAGCTAAATAAATCCCTAACCCCTAATAGCAGGATTTTATAATGGGAAAAGTACTCTGTCTTAGAGACTCAACATGGACTATCCTTTCTCTTTAAACATTTACCACATAAAAACATTTGCTCTGCAGGCACTGTGATATACATGTGACATTTTCATGATCTTTATACTATAACAGTAAAGCTCATTTTGTCCACAAGGGCACAAACTATGAAAACCCATCCCTCCTTCAAGATAACCAAACACTGCCTTACCTGGCGTGCCCGAAGTGCCACTTTGGCATTGGTGGTCTTACTGAGTTGAGTTAGCTCTGTAAGAATATTCAGCAGCTCATCAGTGAGAGTAGGGTCCCGGCCACACAACTGATCCTAACAGTGATTCAAAAAGAGAAATAGACATCTATATCAAAAAACAACTCAGTAGATAGAACTTTAGAATAGGGAAAGGGAATAAAAACAAAGTACAAAAAAAATACAACTTCCTTTTGCAAAGAAGAAGCAATCCAAGTCAGATTCAAATATTTTAATATATTTCTTTATAAATTAACACTGTGCTTTTAACATGCAGAAGAAATAGAGTCCTCTAAAAGGAGTCAGGAGAATTCTGAGAAGAAATAACAAATGATGTCTCAAAGATCAAGAGGTTTATAAGTAATGTAGAAATTAAAGGCCTTTCTCGCCCGCTTTGGGAAAGAAGGTAGAATAGGCAAAGGAACCACTCTGGTGGTTTTAATACCACAAACCATATGTTAGGCATTCTATGAAATGCAAAAGTGAAACACAAAAACAAATCATTAATTTATAAATACACACTAAAAATGCCACCTCATATTCTGACAGTTCTGGATCCAAATCATTTATCTAGTTCTTGTACCAAAAATCATTTCATGAATTTAAACATGATAAATTATTAGACTGGTGGAAATTTTTACCATAGGTTCCAGGGTTTGTTCAGTATTGGCACTTCCTTTTTCTAACAATTACACAATGTTAATGAAAATAATCCCTAAAATATTCTCAGAGATATTTCTACTGGAGTCCAATGGAATAATCAGTTTATTCTCTAAATTCATATATTATCTAAATTAAAAATAAGATAAAAGTAACTACATGCAGTTTTTAAAACAAATAATTGTCCTTTTTTAATTTTACAAGCTTATGGGTTCTTAATATACCACAAAATGAAACTCACACGTTTAGCTATTGTTCCCTGTACTTGCACTTTGAAATAATTGTCGTTATAGTTTAGTAAATTTTTCTTCTCCCCTTATCACTAGGACATGAAAGATGGTCCTCAAGATTAAAGCTAGGCCCCCTGGATGGTAGGTCAACATATACCAACTACTATTTACATCACCAACTCCACTGCTGCTTTAGAATCCCCAGGATCCCTTCCCCTTGATTACCAGCCCTTTTCTTGAAGAATCACTAATTCATGCTTACCATCTCCGTTTCAGGAATACCTTGTATAATTCTTTATCACAGTAGTATATATAAAAATATGGAGCCTGGCCTTTGTAGCAGTAGTGTATTTCCCCAAACCTTTTCTAAAACACCTACTACATTCTGTGTTACAAGGTAAACACTTTTTGTAATACTCAATACCATTAGGCTGGGAACACAGTCACTCAGTCTGTCTCTCTCTCTCTAAATGTTTTACAACATGAGATTCTCATTCTCCAATCCACCAACCAGATGTCTGCTCCAACTGCCCAAAGTCCATGATTTTTTTGGTGGGGTGGGGGGTCCGGTTGTGGGGCCTGAACTCTGGGCCTGGGAACTGTCCCTAAGCTCTTAAGCTTAAGGCTAGCACTCTACCACTTGAGCCACAGCGCCACTTCGGCTTTTTTTTTTCTTTTTGCTTATGTGGTGCTAAGGAATCGAACCCAGGGCCTCACGTATGCAAGGCAAGCACTCTACCACTGAGCCATCTTCCCAGCCCCCAAATCCATGATTTATAGTTAAGGAAGTGTAAGTACTGTTTTTACCCATCTCAATGAGAAAAATGCAAGCTTCTATTAAAGATAAAACTAGGAGTCTGTTGATCAAGCAGTCATATACTAAAAGACTTGTTCCACCCATGTGGGCATAACAGGAAAGAGGTAGAAGAAAAATGCAATCACATCTTGTCTTTTGCTGATAACTAATAAACAAAATAGAATTTCAAGGGAATATATAAATCACTGGGCGGGGAGAGGGGAAACACATTAAAAAGATAGAAGAAAGAACAGATAAGGAACAGTGAGTATCTCCTTTCCTAATGTTCCCAATATAGCAACATTAGAAAAAAATTCCTTTCTCAGATACTATTCAATCAGAATAAGAGATCTTAAAACATAGAAAGTATCGTGGGTAATACCCCAACTCAACGACCGTGCAAATGCCTAGCCTATAGTCCAACATTATCAACAAATGACAATATAACAAAATATGAACACCTCTTCAACCTATATTAGATTTTTTGTTTGTTTTTGGTTGGTTGTGAGGCTTGAACTCTGGGCCTGGGAGCTGTCCCTCAGCTCTTCAGCTCAAGGCAAGTGCTCTACCACTTGAGCCAAAGTGCACTTCCAGATTTCTGGTGGTTAACTGGAGATAAGAATCTCACAGACTTTCCTGTTCAGGGCTGCCTTGGAATCACGATCCTCAGATCTCAGCCTCCTGAGTAGCTAGGATTACAGGTGTGAGCCACCGGCTCCCGGCTCTATATCAGATTTGATAAGGAACAATTTTCTTAACCCAGAAGTGGTGCTGTGGCTCAGTGGTAGAGCACTTGCCTTGAGCTGAAGAGCTGAGGGACAGTGCCCAGGCCCAAAGTTAAAGCCCTACAACCGGGAAAAAAAAATCTTCTGAAGGAAGTCTACATTTAACTTAAATAAAAATCAAGTTATCTTGTGCTTAACTACAGATTGCGTTCTAACTTACAAAGAAAAACACACAAAATCACTTTTTCATTTCATCATTATGAGAGTGAGGAAGAAGGTTAGGGTAGAAGAAACAGTGTTTGTAAGAAAAGTGAACCATGGAGATTAGGAAAAATGAAGTAATTATTCATTCATGACCAAAGGCTGGCAATCTTTTTGGGTTCCTTGTGATAAAGTCTAAAAACTAGAGCTTTCTGGGATGTAAAAAACTGAAGACAGTAGAACTAATTCCACCAGTTTACCTTGACAGGGAATTTTCCATTCAAATACTATCCTCCTCACTATCATTAATTCTTAGAAAAAGATTGGTAATAAAAATTATGTGTGGACTGGAAATGTGGCTTAGTGGAAGAGTGCTTGCCTAGCATGCATGAAGCCCTAGGTTCAATTTTTTAATACCATACAAACAGAAAACGCCAAAAGTGGTGCTGTGGCTCAAGGGTAGAGTGTGAGCCTTGAGCACAGAGAGGCTCAGGAACAGTGCCCAAGCCCTGAGTTCAAGCCCCAGGACTGGCCAAAAAAAAAAGTGTATCAAGGTGGTTACAGAATATGTACATTGTTGCCCAGACAGCTATGAAAATGTTGGTACTTTTCATTTAAACCAAATAACTTAATTTGACTAAAGAGTCCCTTTATTATCTTTAAAGGGCCACTTTTTTTTTTGAGTGATAATATAACGTGAAATTGAAGAAACAAGAAGAACTTTCAAAGCATAAACTTGCCACTAGTCTTTCAATAAACTTTCTCAGTATTCTCTAGTCCTTGTTTTAACCTAGACATAGGATTGAGGTCTCAGAAAAGAAAAAGAAAAAAAAAAAAAGCAACATTCTTTAGAGCCACTCAACATTGAATGGAAGCCGGGTGCTGCTGGCTCAAGCCTATAATCCTAGCTACTCAGGAGGCTGAAATTTGAGGATCTCAGTTCAAAGCCGGCCCGGTCAGGAAAGTCTGTGAAATTCTTATCTCCAATAAATCACCAGAAAACCCGAAGTGGTGCTGTAGCTCAAGTGGTAGAGTGCTGGCCTTGAGCTGAAGAGCTGAGGGACTGTGTTCAGGCCCAGAGTTCAAGCCCCACGACCGACAAAAAAAAAATTGAATGGAAATATTTACAAACAATTCAAACATAGCCCCCTATCCTAGATATAGTCTAAGTTTATAGACAGTTTTAGACAACTAAACCTGCTCATATTGGGTAACAGGTTATATCAAAAATCTGCAGACCAAAGCAAAAATTATTCATCAATAGTCAAGACTGGTACAACAGTTATTTTTTGGTTTAGCCTAGATGCTAGGGAATTTTGTGGATTTACAGAAATATAACAAACATGCGAAAGTAATAAAAACACAGCCTAAATTACATAACTGACAGAAAAGCCTAATACAGTCTAACTTTATCTAAGCATCCTAGACATTAAGTGCCTTTGAAGAAATCAAATGGAAAGAATATAATCTTTTTTTGGGGGTGGGGGGAGGGGTTCGGTCGTGGGGCCTGAACTCTGGGCCTAGGCGCTGTCCCTCAGCTCTTCAGCTCAAGGCTAGCGCTCTACCACTTGAGCCACAGCGCCACTTCCGGCTTTTTTCTTATGTGGTGCTGAGGAATCGAACCCAGGGCCTCAGGCATGCAAGGCAAGTGCTCTACCACTGAGCCACCTTCCCAGACCCAAGAATATAATCTTATGTATAATACTACTATACTACTACTATTATACTACTTTTATAGTACTATTATTCACCTAAGTAAGGCTCTATTCCTGATGTTAACAGACTAGAGTTTCTTCCTGTCATACTTACATTTTTTTCTTACACTCTAAAGATGTTATAAAACAGTTTTATCAACAAATTGTCATTAGAATCCTTCATTAACAAAGATCTCTGTTCTCAAAACTTTTCTTCTTTAATTATACAGTGGATAAATTATATGTGGTCATGATAAAAGGAAGAAGAGGGCCACTAATCAGCTTTTACTTATAAAGTTAAGTTTAAGAAGTAGAGAGTTTTCAAAGCATCAGTTTACTATTTGTCTTCCAAGCTTTGTTTTCTTTGGTGTATAATAGTCCTCCAAATAAATAAAACTGATAAGATTTTAACTTTCTACACAATATTCTACCAGATAGGGTAAGACTGGGAGGATTTTACTCAAGAATCCTTGAGGCAACTTACTACTAGACAACTTCTGTTAACATCTAGAGGGGATGAAGGTACCTATTCACTAGAGCACCCTGATTTTCTTGATCCCTTCCTCTAAGGTCAAAGGCCTAGAAGTCATCATCTAGCTCAGCAAAGCACATCAACATTCCTACTTCTAGAAAGCAAAGATTGGAATGCTGGGCACATATAATCATCAATCAGGAAGCCAAGGTAAGCAAAGAAAGGGAAACCAGCAGAGAACACAAGCTGGGGGAATTGAAATGCTACCATGTCTCAGTGACATCTGTAAAACACTGTAAGACTTGCAGAAAGAATAGTCCTAACAACAGAAATGACTCTTACCGGCTACTACCATTAATACACATGATGGGGAGGGGAACAGCCGGCCACTTTCGAAGAAGAAAAGAGAAAGACATGTCTGGCATTCAGTAATATTGGCTCAGAAAGGAAAACCCTGTGAGATTTTCCCTGATCCATAAGTCACCACTGGCTGGCACTGAGCTCAGTTATGTCAATTCATTTCTTCGTTTCCAAATCTCTAAGATGAGGTAAAAATAAGTGATATTTGAAAAAAATTGTAACATGTAAAGCCCATATATCCTATTAGGCTGAGTTTCATTTTATGTTTTAGAGGGAAAAAATGTGAAGATGTCAAAATAATCTAGTTGCCTGGTTTCCAAATTCAGCCTCCTAGTCCCTCTTCCTCCTCCTCCTATCCTATCCATCCAAAGCCAGATACCCTGAAAGAGCCCTTTTCTCTAAAGAGCTCACTCAGTTCATTGGAAAGAAAGTTTGGGTACTATCCATGCAAGTAAGAAGTAATCAGAATGACAAGGCAGTGGTAAAAAAGAAAAGCAGCAAGTCAGGGTCCCATTGGCTTCTGCCTGTCCTGCCTGGCAAAAGCAGAAAGCAAAGCCTCAAACCAGTTCTCTGACAGGGCCCAACGCCTCTGCAGCACCCCCGTGTAATTACACACTTGAGTGACTGGACTCTGAAGAAAATTGAAGGCCTGAGCTCCGAACAGCTGCCATTTTCTCTCTCCATCACACCAGCGTGATTACTTGAGAAATGAACAGCCCCGGCTCAGAGCTACTCCAGAATTCTCAGAGGAAATATGGCTCCGTGTTCCAATAATGAGATTCTTAAGGCAAGCGTTACTTACAATCACTCCGCAAAAGGAGCGAGCCAAGCCCCTATATCTTACAAATTAGAATTTAAGAAACCCAGCGACAGTCCTGGACGATCATTACTCTTCTGCTGCTCCAAGGATTCTGGGCTTTGGTCTATTTTTAGTGCTGAAAACTGTTAAGTTCTTAAAAAGGTAATCATAATAAGATGAAAAATTCACTATAATTAGCTTCCTATAAAGGCGAATTCCATCCTATTTTGGGTCCAAACTGATGGATTCTTCTACCTTCTTGTCATTACCCATTTCTGCTGGAAAGTCTTAACTTTATCTAAATAAGAATTAACAAGCCTTGCATTAAAATTTGAAAGAAAAAAAAGTCAGAAATTTGTTCCCTCTTTTGGTTGAGAAGAAATTAGCAAGTTGCCACATATTACATAATTTTTTTGCAGGAAGCTTTTACTTGAAGAAGTTAAAATATTATACACTTCCAATATGTGTTTTTTCCCTTTCTCAAATGTATCTTGTAGTATCTTCACCATCTAGCTATTCCAGGGTAGCAAAGGTTATGAACTGTCTCTGTAATTATACATTTTTTTTATAATTACATATTTTTAAGTGGCTATCTAAAATGCATTGTCTTTTAGAGTTAACACTCTAGGCAGATGGCTGAGTGGCAACATTGTTAGCCTAAGGTGTGAGATAGTTTTCCTTCATTTAGAAGTGTGACATAAAAAAATGGCAGCAGTGATTTGTGGGATTTTTCTTCTCTCCAAGAAGGAAATAATAGAATTAAAGTAACAAAAGGAAAGCCCACTATTCAAAGGGACCAAAGGAAACTCAAAGAATAAAAAGGTCCTATGGTCCCATAGAAAGACAAATATGTAGCAAGACAATTGCTCAGAACCACAGCAAGAGACTCTAAATCTTATTGTTCTCAGATTCCTAGAATTAAATCAACTAGAAATATCAAGGAGTGAAGGTCTTGCAAATGAACTTCACAAATCTTGTCTGCAAGTCCTAAGTACATTAGTCCTATAAACAACTTTCTGATCTCATCCCTGATTCTAACTTTCTCTCTTTGTTTCTTTAAACCAGTACTAGAATTGAACTTAAGACCTCATGCTCACTAGACAGGCACTCTTATAATGGACCTACAACAGCCAGCTTGTTTTTCCACTGTTTGTTTATTTTCAAGATAGGGCCTCCCTTCATGCATAGGCTAGCCTGTGATCTTACCACTTATACTTCCCTATTTCACTGGGGTTGTCAGGTACACACCTCTACCCACTACTCCTAGCTATTGTGCTTCACTTATACCTGAAATAACAGGACTGTGCCACCATACCTAGCCATTGGTTGAGATAGTCTTGCAAACTTATTTTTGCCCAGGCTGACCTTGCACTTAAATCCCCAGTCTCTGTTCCCCAAAGAGCTAGGATTATAGGCTTGAGCCCTTAATTCTAATATTACTAGCTTATAGGGACAAAATAATGTATCTCCTATCAATACAATAATCAGAGCTTAGATTTTCACGTAACTAAAACAAAAAAAAGACCAAAGAAGATGCAGAATAAATTTGAATTTCTTTGGTAGGGGAGAACCAGTATTAAATTCATAAATTAACATGAGATTTATTGTTTATACCTATGGAACAAACAAGAATTAAAATGGGAAGAGAAAAAAAAAAGAGAAGCAACTCACTGATTAGAGGAAAATACATTTTGTTTTGCTGGTCATGGGCATTAACTCTGGGCCTGGGCGCTGTCCCTCAGCTCTTCAGCTCAAGGCTAGTGCTCTACCACTGGAGCCACAGCGCCACTTCCGGCTTTTTCTGTTTATGTGGTGCTGAGGAATCGAACCCAGGGCCTCATGCTTGCAAGGCATGCACTCTACTGCTGAGCTACCTTCCCAGCCCCAGGAAAATACATTTTTAAAGCTACTGCCATGCTGGGCACCAGTGGCTCATGCTTATAAATCCTAGCTACTCAAGAGGTTGAAATCAAAAGATCAAGGTTCAAAGACAGCCAGGGCTGCAAAGTCCATGAAACTCTTTTCTCCAATTAACTGGCAAAAGCCAGAAGTGAAGCTATAGCTCAAGTGGTAGAATGCTAGCCTTGAGTGAAAAGCTAAGAAACAGCACCCAGGCCTGAGTTCAAAACGCAGTACTGGCACAAAAATTAAAAACACATCAAAAATAAACCTACTGATCACAGTAGCAATGGGAAAGTGAAAGGCACTTCTAAGTAAGGTCAAGAGGTTTGACTTGCTGTAAATATTATATGCATAATTACCAGGTAATAACCAGAACAATACATTTCTAACTAGTGAATTTCTTCAGATTAAGTGTAAAATTAGATGTAAGAAATTGATAATCCACAAAAAAAAAAAATTCTACTCAGTTCATAATTTAAAGGTTTTTCCTCTGACTGTGGCATGGGGCTAGGGAGGACAGGGAATGGGACAACCTTTTAAATATCACTGATTATCCTTACAGGTGCTGAAAAATGATACTCACAATAAGCATTGTAACCAGAAGATTCTTCTTGGTGACTTGAGCATGAGAGAAGATGTAATTCAGTACAGTGTTCATGTCACTTTTGTTCTCCTCCCGAAGGGCAAACACACATTTGTCATAGTGACCTGCAAGCAGCAGAAAGAGCTGGTCTTCACCCTTGTATAAAGGCTTACATTTACACACTATTTGTTTCTTAATGTCTATCATTTACCTGATAAGAATTGAGATTGAATAGATTTATACAGAACTGGCAGTGTAGGTTAGTAAAGGGAGCAGTGAATGAGAAATCAGGAGGATCATCATGTAAGATCTGGACTCAAGGTCTATCTCTGTGACCCACTTACTGTGTGGTCTTGGGCAAATCATTTGACCTTTCTAGACCTCAATTTCACTGTATTAAAGAAAGGTAGGGAGGGGAGGAAGAAGTGTGGCTCAAGTGGCAGAGCACTAACCTTGAACAAAAAAAAGCAGAGAGCATGAGGTAAGCAGTTTTAGCACCCCCCAAAAAAAGAGGGGGATGGAATGTGGCATAAAGACTGGAGAAAGGGTAGATAATGCTAATATCATCCTTGTTCTAAACATTCTCATTTAGATTCAAGGAATAATTTCCTTAGAACAAATATCCTTAAAAACATCAAAAACACTAAACTTGATCTTTAAGATCTACCTCGATTTAAGATTCTGATTGCATGCTGACACACTGAAAAAATGCTTAATTCTACTAGGAAACAAAAGTACACCAATTGTATCAATACCAGCAAGAAGTGTGACTGCTACCTCAGGAATCAACTTGCAACCCCATGAAACAGCTAACCATTTTCTAGGAACTCCAAATGCAAACCAAGGTATAGATTAAGGAGAACCTTGCATTAAGTGAAAAGGTTTCTAGTGAGAGTACAGCTGAGGTTGCACCTGCCTGCCCCTTCTGGAAGGCCATAAGGGTCAGGTTAGTTCTATGTAGTAAAGCTGTGCTCTGCAACATCAATGTAAGCTTCCAGTATATTGCAGACATGTAATATTTACTTTTTCAGAAAGCAGGTTATTGCTGGGCACCAGTGACTCACACCTGTAATCCTAGCTACTCAGGAGGCTGAGATCTGAGGATTATGGCACAAAGCCAGCCTGGGCAAGAAAGTCCATGAGACTCTTATTTCCAATAAACCACCAGAAGACCAGAAGTGGTGCTGTAGATGAAGTGGTAGAGTGCGAAAGAAGAAAGAAAGAAAGGAGGGAGGGAGGGAGGGAGGGAAAGAAGGAAGGAAGGAAGGGAGAGAGGGAGGGAGGAAGGGAGGGAGGGAGGGAAGAAAGAGAAAGAAAGAAAGAAAGAAAGAAAGAAAGAAAGAAAGAAAGAAAGAAAGAAAGAAAGAAAGAAAGAAAGAAAGAAAGAAAGGAAAGAAAGAAAGGAAGAAAGAAGAAAGAAAGGAAGGAAGGAAGGAAGCAAGCAAGCAAACAGGTTATTTTAGAAAAGAATTAGCATTTAAATATTCATAAGTCAGCAATTTATGAAATTAAAAAAATTACTTTTAAACGATTACCACCTCAGTTGAGGTTCCACATTAAGCTACAAACCAGAACAGTGATGCTCAAACTGTATTACCATGGTTTCCTAGATTATTAGTATTTGACTAAGGTATCTTAGTTGATCTGTTTTAAATACAAAGATTGACATAGCATTTTTTAAATAAATGTAAAATATACTTTGAAAACTGTGGATTATAATGCTAATTTCATAAAAGATCATTTTAAAACAAAATGGAAGCTGTTTACAAATTGATTGTCCTTGGGCTAGGGAACGCAGCTCAGTGGTAGAACACTTGCCTAGCATGTGCAGAGATCATTCAATTCTCAGTACTACATAAAACTGGTTGTCTTGCCAGTAAATGGTAGCTCACACCTATAATCAAAGCTACTCAGAAGGCTGAGATCTGAGGACAGCAGTTTGAAGCCAGCCCTGACAGGGAAGTCCAAGAAACATTTATCTTCAGTTAACCAGAAAACAGTCAGAAGTAGAGATACAGCTCAAGTGGTAGAGAACCAACCTTAAGCAAAAAAGCCAAATGAGAGTACAAGGCTCTGAGTTCAAGCCCCAGTACTAGCATAGAAAAACAAACAAAACACACACACACACACACACACACACACACAAAACCTGACCTAAATAATTTCATCTTTCTTCCTACTAATAATTTTGAAGTAACAACAGGAAAATACTTTAGCAATATAATTATGTAAGAGAAAAAAATGAAAAAGTGCACAGGTATTCAGGGTAATAGAAAAGTAAGAAAGAAAGCACTGATACCAAGCATTCTCTTTATAAAAACTATTGTGATGTGTCTATACACGTGTGTATATATATATATATATATATACACACACACACACAAACACACACACACATGTTGCACACACAGAAGAATATATAAAATATATACTAACAATTGAAATAAATGTCCACGTGTTATTTCAGAGCTACTTTTTATAGGGAGTCTAGTACTTGGGTTTCAACTCAGGTTCTCTATGTACTAGCCAGGTGATTCACTCCCCCAGCCCTCACTGTGCTGTTATATACATAGAATAAAATATATGTCAACAGTCAAAATAAATAAATATCCATGTATTATTCCAAAGGTATGTTTTGAGATAAGGCCTTGCTCATCTTGAACTCCTCCTGCTTTAACCTCCTGAATGCTGAGATTATAGCAGGTTCTACCATGTCCAGCTATTAAACTTTAATAGCATAGCTTAGTTCCTTTGAAAACTTCTGTTTTTCCCCCTCAGAAAAAATTACTAAGTTGATTTTCACAATAATCCTTCTTTTGCTTTTTACTTCCGTTTACATTTTTTTTTTTTTTTTGGGTCCGGTCATGGGGCCTGAACTCTGGGCCTGGGCGCTGTCCCTCAGCTCTTCAGCTCAAGGCGAGCGCTCTACCACTTGAGCTACAGTGCCACTTCCGGTTTTCTGGTGGTTTATTGGAGATAGGAGTCTCACGGTCTCTCCTGCCCAGGCTGGCTTTGAACCGCGATCCTCAGATCTCAGCCTCCTGAGTAGCTAGGATTACAGGCGTGAGCCACCAGCGCCCGGCATACATTTTTTTTAATTTAACTTTTCCTGCTAGTTTATGTGTATACCTTGACTCATCCATTTTCAATGTATATGTAATAATCTGTTTTAAGAACATCATAGAAATCAAGTCTATTTCTATAGATTATAATATAATAAATAATATGATAAATAATATAATAATCTATAGATTTCTTACTAGCATTTTGGAAATGTGATGACACCAAACAGTCCTGTATCTGTCCCTTAATAAATGACTATAAAAGAGTTTCTCTAAAGTATATTATACCTTGGGGTAAAATAACTAGGTTGAAAAAAAAAGTTAAAGTTCAACTTTATTAGATATTGACAAACCATTTTCCAAAACAGTCACAACAATCTGTACTCTCACTTACAGGAACTATAAAAGATGATGATATGACTTTGCCAATCACACTGTGTTTTTGGTTCACATTTATCTGATAAATAGCATGTCTTATTGTAAATTTAGGGATAATTTGCATAAAAGATATCTGAAATACCTTTTTCTATCTTTTATCCCTTTTTCTATTAGTTTGCTTTTACTTATTGACTCAAACAAGCTCTAAATACAAATTGTTAGTTGTCTATTTTGCAAATACCTTCTCTCACACGAGTGCCTGTATTTTATTTAGTCTCTTAATGATATATTTTAATGCAGCTGTTTTCTTGAAGTGGGTGTGGTGGTAATGAAATTTGAACGCAAGGCCTCATACTCACTGGTGTCTCAGTTCTAAACAGAAGTTCTTAAGTGAGACTGAACTAATCAACCTTTTCCTTTAGGTTGTACTTGTTATGTCTCTGAGATCATAAGAATATTCTATAAACTTAATAGTTTTCCTTCCTTGGCAAATGTTTGATTCCAATTCATTTAAAATTGTTTATGTATGGTATAAAATAGGGATTCAATTATTTCTACCTCTCCTTTAAAAAAAGGCAATAGCTCACTATCCCAGTATTATTTATAGAAAAAGTCTATGCTTTCTTCAATCTACAATGCCTGCTCTACCACAAAATAAGTTTCACATATGTATAGGTCCGTTTCTAGGTTTTTAAGCTTCTTTGATTTATAAATTTGTCCCTACACAAGTGTAATAACTGCTTAATATGTCTTTTTGTTAGATCTTGATGTCTCATCAAGTAAATCTTATTTCTTCAGAAATTCTTGGTTATACTACTAAATATCCCCATGCTGATGATCACATGTATGGTGTATAACATGTGAACACTGTTATATATTACAGACTGTGATAGACAATTTGCTCCAGGAAAGTTAGAATGAACTTGTGACTTAGAAATTATGTAATCATTTAAGCACAATCAAAAAAAAAAAAAAAAAGAACTTCGGGGAAGGGAGGGAGGGAGGGGATGGTAGGGGGAAAACAATGGAGGGGCTAACAATGTTCAAGAGGAAGTGTACTCATTACCTCACTCATGTATCTGTAACCCTCTATATAGTATCTTTACAATAAAAAAAAAAGAAATTCTTGGTTATTGGAGACTTTTATGTAAATTTTTGAACTGACATGAAAATATTAGTAATGAGAATATCAATGAGCCGACAGATGAATTTGAGAAGTAATACCTTTGTAATAGTACATATTCCAAACTAAGATTTTGATAATTACATGGATATTCTTTACTATTAATCACTGAATAGAATTTCTTCTAAAAACAGTCTGGCACATTTACTTTATATTTTGGTTGCTATTTTAAATAGTGTATGTTTCTAAAATTTATTCTCTAAACATCTGTTCTACTGCAGAAAAAAAATTACAAACCAATTTTTTGGCAGAAAAGGGCTTGAGACAGGGACATACTATACACACATACAGGCTGGCCTCAAATTCATAATTCTCCTGCTTCTACATCCAAAGGCCTATACTACCATGTCAGGGTTGTTTTTTTGTTTTGTTTTGCCAATCCTGGGGCTTGAACTCAGGGTCTAGTCACTGTACCTAAGCTTCTTTTACCAAGGCTAGCATTTTATCACCTGAGATACCACACCACTTCTGGCTTTTTTGTTTATGTGAAACCAAGAAATTGAACCCAGGGCTTCATGCATGCTAGGCAAACACTCTACCACTATGCCACATTCCCACCAGATTTTTTTTTTTTTTTAAGATGATGGTGGTACTGCAGATCAAACCCAGGGCCTTCCACATGCTAGATAAGCACTTTACAGTGAGATTTTATATGCTGACTTTTGCACCCAACGATTTTGTTGGGCTTTAAATAATTTACTAATAAATCTGTATACTCTGAGCTTTTCAAGTGGACATGTCTATCAGTGGCAGTCTTACTCCTTTCCAATCCTCCTCTCTTGCTTTATTGTACAGGACATCAATCCAATATCAATACCAAGTATCTTTGCTTTATTATTAATTTTTAAAACCATGCTCTCATACTCATTACCTTACTTATGTAGATATAACTCCTCTGTATATCACCTTTACAATAATTTTTTTTAAAATGCTTTCTAGAATACTCCCAACTCTGTGTCAGCTCATGCCTTTTTTTCTTTATGCCAGGAGCACTGACCAGGGTTGTAAGTGGTTAGTATGGCAGATAAGAGGGGCCATAACATAACCCTTACCTACATGGAGAACTTCTTGCCTACTGTTTACTTAAAAAAATTAAAAAATAAATAAAATAAAAGCCACCTAACTATATATATATCCTGTAGCTTTTTGTGGGTCCCTTTTGTAAGATTTTTAAAAAGCTCCATTTGAAGGTTAGGGCTATAGCTCAGTGGCAGAGCACTTCTCCAGCATACACAAGGCCCTGGGTTCTATCCCCAATATTGCAAAAAAGAATGGTTCCAATCACTCTTCCTTATTTTCAAGAGTTTATCATGAATCAATGTTTACCTTTGCTTTTCCTCACATATCTTGAGATCATGCACATGTTTATTCCTCCTTTAATCTATTACTACATGATAAATTACATAAATCCCAAAATTTAAAGCTAACTTGGTTATGACATATTGTCTTATACATGGCCGAGTTCAACTTACTGATATCTAGTTCAGGAATTTTGCTGGTTGCAAGTGACAGAATTATCTCTTAAAAGAGACCAGAACAAATAGGAGACAATCTCAGCTAATGTTTTCAATTCCGTGGTGTTTAACTGCCACCTTGTGGCAGGAAGCAACACCAGCAGTACATAGCTTTAAAATTCCAGCCAAGATAATTCACACTTAAAGCCCACGGACAGCACCCAAGCCTAGAATTCAAGCCCCATGACTGACAAAAAAAAAAAAAAAAAATGTGGGGCCCAAGGAACCAAATTACATGTAAAGGATTTCAACAATATTAAAAACATTTGTGGGGGCAGCCCGGCGCTGGTGGCTCACGCCTGTAATCCTAGCTACTCAGGAGGCTGAGATCTGAGGATCGCGGTTCAAAGCCAGCCTGGGCAGGAGAGACCGTGAGACTCCTATTTCCAATAACCACCAGAAAAACCAGAAGTGGCACTGTAGCTCAAGTGGTAGAGTGCTCGCCTTGAGCTGAAGAGCTGAGGGACAGTGCCCAGGCCCAGAGTTCAAGCCCCACGGCCGACCAAAAAAACAAAAAAGACAATACATCATTTAGTAAAGCTCTTCATAAAGTCGGGGAAAAAATTCCACCTAAATGATACACTAAAAAATAGTGCAAAATCTGAACCTTCCCTTATGCCTGTGGCTCAATATATGGATTAGGTGCTGAGAGGCAAGCTCTTCACAAATGAAATTTCAATTTCAGCCTGGTCATGACCCAACCAACTCTCACTATACAAGGTCAAGAAGATGTCAATAGGGAATGCTAATCTCTAGTAGACAGGTTATCTCAGCCCTTTCCCAGAAGTACAATGGGTTTACAATTTCATCAAGCTGTGTTTTATTGTTGCTCTTTCCATGGGACTAGTGGGTCTAGATTTTGAGAGGGGTAAAAGTAAAATGTTTATTCAAAGAAAGTGCTGGTAAAGGCAAGAACTGGCTTAGCTGTTACACAGTCTTATATGGTTTGGGTTGGTGATAAGAGTTAGAAATTTTCTAAAGGAGTCCCCAGGAAGAAGCTTACCATTCTGGAATTGTGTCTCTACTCTCAGGTACTGCCGGAGCAGATCCATCACCACAGCCTTCATGTGGCCTCGGATGCCACTTCGGTACCTAAGCAGACAAAAAAGTTTCTTCTGAAAATTTGATAGGCAAACACTATTAAATAATAAACCTGAGACAAATTTACTTTTTGTTTGTTTGTTTGCCAGCCCTGGGGCTTGAACACTGTTGCCTGAGCTTCTTTTACTCAAGGCTAACAATCTACCACTTGAGCCATAGTGCCACTTCTGGCTTTTTCTGTATATATGGTACTGAGTAATCAAACCCAGGGTTTCATACATACTAGGCAAGCACTCTACCATTAAGCTGCATTCCCAGCCCCCAAATTTACTTTCTAGATATACTGAACCACTTTTCCTTTTGAATCTAAAGCTCTAGAGTAGGGTTGTGATTTATATTTTCAGATTGTTAATTCAAATCATACAACCAGATTAACTGCAAGCCTTAATTTCTCTATAGAAAATACCTATTATAAAGGAAAAAAGAAAATAAAAATAAGAACAAAAGAAAAAAACTTCATAACCATATTTATTAATGATATCCTGATTCAGTTTCTACTGCTGAGTACAAATTATTAACACACTCTTGAAATGGCTAAGAAATTTCTAAATCTTTTATAAGTACCTTAAAGTTAGGATGAAAATTAAGAAAATAACACTGACAGGCGCCTGTAATCATGCCTGTAATCCTAGCTATTCAGGAGGCTGAGATCTGAGGATCATGGTTCAAAGCCAGCCCAGGCAGAAACATGCATGAGACTCTTATCTCCAATTAACCACCAGAAAAGTGAAAGTAGTGCTGTGGCTCAAGTGGTAAAGCACTCGCCTTGAATTGAAGAGCTCAGGGACAGTGCTCAGGCCCAGAGTTCAAGCCCTATGACTGACAAAGAAAAGAAAAGAAGGAAGGAAGGAAGGAAGGAAGGAAGGAAGAGAGAGAGAGGGAGAGAAAGAGAGAAGGAGGGAGGGAAGGAGGGAGGAAGGGAGGGAAGAACAGAACAGAATACAAATGCTGGGCCTGAGTGACTAACAGAGAGAATATTAAGAACTTACAGTAAAGCCAGGCATACTCAGGAAGCTGAGATCTAAGGATAGTAATTCAAAGCCAGCCAAGAGAGCAGAGACTCTTATCTCCAATTAACCATTAAAAAGCCAAAAGTGGAGCTGTAGCTCAAGTGGCAGAGTGTTAGCCTTGAGCTAAAAAGCTCAAGGACAGTGCCTAAGCTTTGAGTTCAAGCCCCAGAACCAGAACCAAAAAACAAAAAATCACAATGAGTATGAGTTATGTCATAATTCTAAAATATTTAAAAGACACATTGTATTTTATAATATAAAATTTGCTTTTTGCTTTCAAAGTCAGACCTGAGGTATATCTCTTTATGACCACTTAAAAGAAGAGGAAGGTACAGAAGTGGACAGTTCTGGGAATCTGGAGTTACATGTTAAGTACCTCTGTACCAGCTGGACAATGCTCTGAGTGTTCATGAAGAAGACTTCCCTTTCAGATTTCCGGTTCAATGTAGCTGCATGACTATCTAGGATGTTGGCAATCTAAGAATGTAAAGGAAAAAGAAATGAAGCTCAAGTCTAACAAAGGGACTAAAAAAACTTTGGCCTCTTAAAGCACCACTTCTAGGAATCTTCTTAGTCATGACAATTCCTGATTGACACATTACCAGCAGCTAGACATTACTGAATACAGTTTAGGGGCTTCTGCAACTTTTGTCTCTTTTTACTCTTTTCCAGATGGACTTATGGAGAGTTCACAAAAACTATAATCTACCTAGAGACTCAGATGGGCAAAAGCATCTAAGGTCAAGATCCAAACTTTACTCAGCGCTGCCCAGCTTTATCCCCTACATACATCAGCTTTACAGGCTAATAAAACTGAAACCAGGTGGGATCTGGTAGCTCACACCTATAATTCCACTTAGGAAGCTGAGATTTGAAGATCACAGTCATAAGCCAGCCTGGGCAGGAAGTCTATGAGAATCTTATCTCCAATTAATCACAGAAAAAACTGGTAGATTTCAAGTCTTGTGCTAAAGAAGCACCTGGGCCCAGAGTTCTCAGGACTGTCAAAACAACAACAACAAGAAAAACAAACAAAAAACCCCGTATCTATTGAGGTAGTCTCTAATAATACTAAAACTATCCTTTAAATTTATGAAAATATTTCTAATTAGGGAACAGCCCTAAGAATAAATCTATATAGGTTACATTTCATATACAGTGCTTTCATTATTGGACTCATCTGCTGAGGCAATTTTATGAAAGATGCAATGCTTAAAATTGTAAAAGCACTAAGCCAGACAGCAAGCAGTATCCAAACATAGCAAAGAATCCTACAGTATAAACTCCAAGGATAGTCTGGAAAATAATTATAGTGTTTCCTATAAGTACCTGCTGGCTGGGAAACTGACATAGGACTGATGTGATATTGCTAGCATACTGAGCCATTTCCTTCTTGATAGACTTCTCCACATTGAGCGGGATTCGCCCAGAGACACTGGTCATGATATCTTGCAATTCTAGGAGAGGCAGGGAGGGATCTCTCAGAGTTTTCATCAACCGTTCTACCCAGTCTTTTACCTGAGAAGAATAAATTAAACAGGACCCATAGTTAGTAAAGTTCCTAAAATATCTAAATTCACTATCATATAATGATTACTTTAAAACTGCAAGTGTAATCATCAAATACTGACCCTATTCTCTAGTTTAAAAAGCAGTATTCCCGCTGGGCGCCAGTGGCTCATACCTTTAATCCTAGCTACTCAAGACCCTGAGATCTGAGGATCACGGTTCAAAGCCAGCTGGGCAGGAAAGTCCATGAGTCTCTTATCTCCAATTTAACCACCACAAAACTGGAAGTGGCCCTGTGGCTCAACTGGTAGAGCGCTAGCCTTGAGCTGAAGAGCTCAGGGGCAGCGCCCAGGTTGAGTTCAAACCACAGGACCAAAAAAAAAGCAGTATTCTCAAGTACATATGAAGTCCACTAAAAAGCTAAAAAGCAAATAAAGACTTCAAATCCCGCAACTAAAAGTGGGAATTTCAGACCACACAGCTTTCTTTCCTTCCCTTAGAAAGATCCTGAGATTTAAAAACTACTTCAGGGAATGGCTACTCCATTTCTATACCCTTTCCCAAAAGAGGTCATTCATACCCTATTGCTGAAGAAAGGATCTGGAAGGCAGTATCCATTCATCACATTAACCAAATTATCCAGGACATAGTGGAACACTCGATGGAGCTTCTCGCCTCTGAGAGCTGTACTCTGGATTTGTGGCAGACTACCCGTGTGAAGCTCAGCCTGTCAATCCCAATGAGAGACTGTTATTCATTACCTTCTATTCCGCGTTTAAATACTACTGCAAATTGAAATATCCTTCATTGTACCTAGCTCCTAAAAGTCAGTAAACATAAAGAGGACATTATAGAATCTTAGTCTTATATTATTACAGACTCTAGCTCTACACACAGGGACAAACATAAGGCATTAGAATGGGATGAAAGAATTTAAGAAAAAACTGGCAAATTAAGCAATTGCCCCTCCAAATAACCATATTCCTCAGCTCTTGAAGAACACTATTTACAGTACCTCCTCCTCACCTGCTGAACCTTGCTGGGGTTGTCCAGCTGCATTTTGGCTATTACACAGCCAGGGTCAAGAGCTGCTCCGGTTCTCTTGACATAATGGATGCAGCCAGATTCTGCAGCTGTTAAGGTCATCACCATCTTCATTACCTATAAATGAAAAATATATAAATTGGTCTAATCTTTCTTTGTACAGATGAATGTTTTAAAGAGGTCAGCTTTCCCCTTAGCATCTTAATTGGACTATACTTAATGCAACCCAGAAAAATGAGAATCTGTCGAAAATCTCCTATTGAGTACCAAAACAGACAATTAAATTTCTCAAGACCTAGCTTTGAGATTAAGAAGAGTCACTGACATCTCCTGTGTTTCTAACTTTTAAATCCATTTGCTACAGCTTATGGTCTTAACTGTTTTGTACTGATCACATGGGCATAAGTTCACTGTTCACATATAAACAATCTGTCTCCTCCTATCAGTGGAACTGAGTACTCACTATAAATCTATCTAAAATGTCCAGGAAGCCCACAGTTACTCTTCATTCTTCTTTCTCCCTCATCTCCCACTTACAATGCTAGTCAAGAATATCTTCTAAACCTCCCTCAAAATCTTCTGTTATATATTGGGTTTAGGCCCTCCTCATTTTTTTGCATAAAGTACTTCAAAAGCCTCCAAAGAGATTTCCCTACTGGCTATATATCTCCAACAAGGTTCTCCCCAAACAATCATTCTAGAATCCAAATCTCATCATACATGACTTTTCTCCTTAAATTCTTCAATGATTCCCTGGTGCCTTTAGAATAATCTAAATTTGCTAGTTGTCATTCAAGACCCTTCATGATCTCACATTTAAAACCTCATACACTATTAAGCATGTTTGCTTGCCACTCCCAATCTAATCTTAGCCTATTTTCAAGCAATATTAATACATGACTGTGGTCCCTAAATACACCAGTCTTGCTTCTGTGCCTTTACGCAGGGTATTCTATCACTTTTGAACATCACCTGATCTAGTATTATTTACCCTTCAAAAAAAAGATCAAATATCTCCCATTTCCTTAAGGTGCCTTTCCCTACTTTGTACTCTATCTCAATTTGGGAATGGTGGTGCTGTGTACTTTGTACTTAGCCTTCTCAGAATTTTTTACTTGTCTGTTTTGTATTCCAATACCACCATCTCATTTTCCCCGCTCCCTGACCATAACATTTTTTTATGCAGCTAGTAATTAGCACAACATCTAACAGCCAGTAAGCACTATTGCCAGCATCTATATTTATAGTTTCTTCACCTGTCAAAGAAAATGGTAAGCTTTATATTTGTTTTCAAAGTCTAAAGGTTCACAACCCCAATTAAACCAACTGATGTCTTTCCTTTCTATTTCTATTTCTTTTCTGTTATTTTTTACTCTTAGTCCATGCCAGCCAACTATTTTTCCCTCCCATGACCCAATAGCTTATTCACCACTCTGACCTCAATCTCAGCATAGCACTGGCCAGCAAACACATGGCCTCCATCCTCTACAATGTATTGGATTAACTTCCCAGCAGAAGGTGAGCGCATCACTGACGGGTCATTTTCCTTCTCAAACACACAGGTTTTATTGCCAATCGTGATACGGTATCTAGGAGGTAAGTGGGAGTATGTTAGACAATAAAGCACTCAGGATATAAAAACAAATGGCAGAAAATGTCTATTTAAAAAAATAAATAACAAAAAAAACTTTATCCTGCATGCAAATACAGGTATGTAAGCACGTAGGACATTCATTGTATTTTTGGTTACAATTTCATTAACAATTTCCTCATATGTATATATTTTGATCAAACTAATTCCTAATAATCATTTTCTGTTCCTAACCCACCCTTACCTTCTGCTAGTCTCATTTTTTTTTTTTTTTGGTCGGTTGTGGGGCTTGAACTCTGGGCTTGGGCGCTGTCCCTCAGCTCTTCAGCTCAAGGCGAGCGCTCTACCACTTCCGGTTTTCTGGTGGTTTATTGGAGATAGGAGTCTCACGGTCTCTCCTGCCCGGGCTGGCTTTGAACCGCGATCCTCAGATCTCAGCCTCCTGAGTAGCTAGGATTACAGGCGTGAGCCACCAGCGCCCGGCTAGTCTCATTTTTCTTAACAGCCCTTACTTCTAATTTCAACGCTTTTATTTTAGCTGGTCCTAGAGCTTGAACTCAGTGCCTGGGCACTCTCCCTGAGCTTTAAAGTTCAAGGCTAGCACTCTATCACTTAAACCACAGCTCTACTTCTGCCTTTCTGGTAGTTGATTGGAATCATATCCTTAGTAAAAGAATACTGATCAAAAGTTGAGGGGATCTTTTGAATATAATGTTTGAATATGAACACAACACAATCTCTTCCTAGAGAGAGAATGGAAGATTTTGGGGATCCTACAAGAAAAGTTGAAGCAGCAATGGGTAGGAGCCTTTTCCTGTTTCTACAAGGATATTCTGTAGAGATGAACAGTTTAAGCTTTGCGCTAGTAGCTCATACTTACAATCTGAGGTACTCAGGAGGTTAAAATCAGGAGAATTATGGTTTAGGTCCAGCCTTGGCAAAAATGCTAGTGAAAATCCATCTCAACAAATAAAAAAACGCTGGAGCCAGGAGCTGGTGGCTCACAACTATAATCCTAGCTACTCAGAAGGTTGAGATCTGAGGATCACAGTTTGAAGCCAGCCCAGGCAGAAAGGTCCCTGTGAGACTCTTATCTCCAATTAACCACTCAAAAACCAAAGTGGGGCTGTGGGCTTAAAGTGGTTGAGCGCCTGGCACTCAGGGACAATGCCCAGGCCCTGAGTTTAAGCCCCGCAAACAGCCAAAAAAAAAAAACTGGATATGATGTCACATACTTATTACCTGAGCTACATAGAAAAACTGAAATATGGCCATAAAAAAATACTCGGACCTACCTGTTCAAAGTAGGTCATAAAGCTGGGTGCTGGTGGCTCACACCTGTAATCCTAGCTACTCATGAGGCTGAGATCTGAGGATCACAGTTCAAAGCCAGCCCAGGCAGGTAAGTCCATGAGACTTTTATCTCCAATTAACCACCAGAAAACTGGAAGTGGCCTTGTGGCTCAAGTGGTAGAGCCCTCGTCTTGAGCTGAAGAGGTGAGAGACGGCGCCTAGGCCTAGAGTTCAAGCCCCATGACCAAAAATAAAAAGAGGAAGTCCTAAAAACTTTATTCCAACGAGGCTTCTGCTTTGTGTACAGAGGTCAAAAGGAATCTGAACAATTAGGCCTTGTTAAGGCCATTGCCAAAGTCACTGCCCTTAGGTCAAAGCCCCTCTTTTTTTTTTTTTGGTGCTGGTTCTGGGGCTTGAACTTTGGGCCTGGCCACTATCCCGTACTTTTGGGCTCAAGGCTAGTGCTCTATCACTTCAGCCATAGCTCCACTTCTGGCTTTTTGGTGGTTAGTTAACTAGAAATAAGTCTCATGGACTTTCTTGTCTGGTTTGGCTTTGAACCACAATCCTCAGATCTCTAATAGCTAGGAGTATAGGCTTGAGCCATTGACACCTGGTCTTTTTTAATCTAGATTTTTGTATATTAGAGAAAACATGTGATATTTGTATTTTTGTATTTATATTTTTCATGTTCCCCATCCATTTTCTTGCAAATGACAGAATCATTATTATTTCAGTCATGTATAAGATTACAGGTATGAACAATCAGCACCTTGCTGTTCTCATACTTTTGCCCTAGCCAATGCCTCATCATCATAATCCTACTCCTATATCCTAAGAAGCTGCAATTATACGTTTGCACTATCATGCCTAATTCTTCTAGGATAAATTTTTCAATAACTGGGCTGGCTTCAAACTGTGATCTTCCTATCTTTACTTCCAATGGAACTGAGATTACAAATACACACCACCACACCTGGCAGTTAGATGTAGTTTTGATATCCATTTCCCTAACAGGTAAGAATGCTGAACATATTTTCACATTTTTTTTGGGGGGGGGTCCGGTTGTGGGGCCTGAACTCTGGGCCTGGGCGCTGTCCCTCAGCTCTTCAGCTCAAGGCTAGCACTCTACCACTTGAGCCACAGAGCCATTTCCAGCTTTCTTCTTTTTGCTTATGTGGTGCTGAGGAATCGAACCCAAGGCCTCAGGCATGCAAAGCAAGCGCTCTACCACTGAGCCACCTTCCCACCCCATTTTCACATATTTATCAGCCACTTGTACTTCTTTTTTTGAAAACTGTCCAGTTCATTTTCTTATTGACTGAATTAAAGAATACTATTTGTAAAAGTACTTAAAAAATAAACATAGTGCATATATAATTTGTATATGCATTATAACAGCTCTGCAAAAATAAATTATTAACAGTGGTTGATTATGAAGAGAGAAACACAGTTTTCATTGTCTACCCACATTGGCATGAAAGGGAGACATGTTTTCTTTTCATTGGTATAGAAGAGAGACACGTTTATCTTTTCTTTCCTTAACAGGTCTCATTAAATTTTCCATATAGACTCAACGTGCTGGGTTCAAGTGATCTTCCTCCCTCAATCTCCAAAGTAGGTGGGGGCTACAGGAATATAATATTTTCTTTCTTTCTTTTTTTTTTTTGGGTCTGGTCATGGGGCCTGAACTCTGGATCTGGGCGCTGTCCCGCAGCTCTTCAGCTCAATGCTAGTGCTCTACCACTTGAGCTACAGCATCACTTTCGGCTTTCTTTCTTTTTGCTTATGTGGTGCTGAGGAATCGAACCCAGGGCCTCATACATGCAAGGCAAGCACTCTACCACTGAGCCACCTTCCCAGCCCCAAGAATGTAATATTTTCTTAAATATAAATTCAGCATCTTGAACAATGTTCCCCTTCCACATGTGATATTTTCAACTGTAAATACTTTCACATTCTTGAGATTTTTTAATGTTTTTTTAAAATTAAAAGTAAGTATACCAAAATAAGCCTGAGATCATCCTCAAAGCTAGTGACTAACAAGTGAAAAAGTTAATACAATGACCAGCAAATGGGCCTAGGAATAGCCACTCACCGATCCACTTCTTCCTTCATGTATGTGGTATAACTACTGCCATCATAAGACAAGAGTAGTCCTCCATCACTTAGCCGGTGCACATCTACTTCTACACAAGATCCATTCATGATTACCACATAGGAGTTGGGTGATTGTCGAGTTACCTACAGTAAACAAAACCAGAAGTGGCAAGTCAGTTTGGGAGAACCACAGACAAACTTTCATTATTTCAAAAATACAGGTTAAAAAAAATTCTGAGCCAGGTGCCAGTGGCTCACACCTGTAATCCTAGTTACTCAGGAGGCTGAGATCTGAGGATACCAGTTCAAAGCCAGCCCAGGCAGGAAAGTCCACGAGACTCTTATCTCCAATTAACCACTAGAAAACTCAAAGTGGTGCGGTAGCTCAAAGTGGCGTAGCCTTGACTGAGCAAAACAGCTCAGGAACAAACAAAAATTCTGTCAAGAAAAAATAAATTAAGGGCTGGGAAGGTGGCTCAGTGGTAGAGCGCTTGTCTTGCATGCCTGAGGCCCTGGGTTCCATTCCTCAGCACCACATAAGCAAAAAGAAAAAAAGCCAGTAGTGGCGCTGTGGCTCAAGTGGTAGACCGTGCTAGCCTTGAGCTGAAGAGCTGAGGGACAGCGCCCAGGCCCAGAGTTCAGGCCCCACGACCGGACCCAAAAAAAAAAAAAGAAAGAAAAAAGAAATTAATGTGCTAGAGGCTGACTGCTCATACCCGTAATCCTAGCTACTTATGTAGCTGAGATCTAAGGACTGCAGTTTGAAGCCAGCCCACACAAAAACTTCCTTTAAACTCTTACCTCCAATTAACCAACAAAAAGCTAGGACTGGAACTGTGGCTCAAGTGGTACAGTGCTATCCTTGATTTAAAAAAGCTCATGGAGGGCCTGAGAAGTTGGCTCAGTGGTAGAGTGCTTGCCTTGCATGCATTAGGCCCTGGGTTCGATTCCTTAGCACCATATAAGCAGAAAAAACCAGAAGTGGCACTGTGGCTCAATTGGTAGAGCACTAGCCTTGAGCCAGAATGCTGAGGGGACAGTGCCCAGGCTCTGAGAATTCAAGCCCCAGGACCAGCATTAAAAAAAAAAAAAAAAACAACTTAAAAAAGAAGTTAACAGCATTCACATATCTGTACTAGTGTCTATGAGCATGGCACAGTCCTACTGTAAATAAATAACTTCAATTGTTGCTCTCTGTCAGAATGCTCTTCCTCTTTTTAATCTCTTGGTAGTAAAGAAGCCAAAAGATTTACATAGCATCATCAAATAATGCTTCATACTATTGACGCATTAACAACCCAATCTGGCTCTTCACCTCTTCAAGGAATGAAATTTTATCCTGTTTCTCTCTGTCTCTCCCTGCACTGGGGCTGAGCTCAAAGGCTTTGTGCTCATTCAAGTTTGCTTGCACTCTACCACTTGAGCCATACCTCCAATTTTTGCTGGTTACTTTGGAGATGGGGAGTCTTGCAAACTTTTCTGTCCAGGCTGAGATCTCAGCCTTTTGAGTAGCTAGGATTAAGGTGTTAGTCACCACCCCTGACTTTTCCTATCTCTTGACCTAAAGAAAACTAGTAACTAAGACACACAAAAACTGAAGTGTATCGGGCTGGGAAGTTGGCTCAGTGGTAGACTGCTTGTCTTGCATGTATGAGGCAATGGGTTTGATTCCTCAGCACTACATAAGCAGAAAAAGCCAGAAGTGGTGCTGTGGCTCAAGTTGTAGGGCACTAGCCTTGAGCTGAAGAGCAGAGGGACAGCGCCCAGGCCCAGAGTTCAGCCCCAACTGGCAAAAAAAAAAAACAACTGAAGTGTAGGCTTCAGTGGGGCTCACATACCTTAAGTACATACTTGACTCCTTCATATATCAGTTCAACATCTACTGTGTTAAGAAGTGTATGAGCAGGAAGGACTTGACCCCTAAAAGAAGACAACATAAAACACACTTTAGAAAGTGTAATAAAGGAAATTCAGATTATTGTGTTATTTCTTAAACAGGAAGACATGGGGAAATAAAAAACATAAAAACCATCTATAAGGGACTGATGAAATAAACTATGGATAAATAATACATCAAAAATGTTTCAATTGGAGCACAACATACATAAAATGTACTATCTTAACTATTTTTAAGTGTATAGCTATACAGTGTTGAAAATATGTCTACTACTGTGCAAACATTTTTTACTAGCTTATTGTTGTTTTAAAGGTGATATGCAGCAACTGTTCCCTCATTCTCTCTCATTCCTTCCCTCCCATCTCCACCATGAGTTGCTTGGTTCACTTTCACCAACGTCCAGTGCAGCCAGTGGTGCTTTTCTCCTAAGGCTATCCTCTTTTAGTCTTACTGTATATAGCTGTCTAAAATTCTGTATACTTTGTGATATCCTGGTGCATTTTAAATCTAACTTCTGCATATCAGGGAGAACGTGCCATTTGTATCTCTGAACTTGGCTTGCCATGCTCAACATGATTTGTTCTAGTTCTATCCATTTCCCTGTGAATGCCATCATTTTACTCTTTCTAATGGCTATGTAAAATTCCATTGTATATAGGTACCACACTTTTTTTTTAATTCATTTATCTATTCTGAGGCATATAGGTTGTTTCCATATCTTGGCTACTGTCAAGAGTGCAGCAATGAACATGGATGTGCAGGCATCCTGGTTCATGATGCTCAGGGTAGATGCCCAGGAGTGGTAGGGCTGGGTCACAGGGAAGGTCTATGTTTAGTTTTTTGAGGAACCTCCAGACTGCTTTCCCGAGTGGTTGTATTGGTTTATATTCCACTAGCAGGGCAGCAGGGATTCTTTTTCTCCACATTCCCACCAGCATTTGTTGTTGTCTGAATTTAGAATATTGGTCAGTCCAATGGGGGTAAAATGGGTTGTTTTGATTTCCATTTCCTTTATGGCCAGGGATGATGAGCATTTCCTTATGTGTTTGCCTTTTTTTTTTTTTTT